AATAAAATTAATTACTTAAATATATTATTTAGATTTATTCGTATATATTTTTTAAAGTATAACTAGTTATCTAGTTATATAACAGTTTATGACTTCATTCTACCAGACCAAACAATAAAAAAAAAATTTTTTTAATTTAAAAAAAAATAAAATGATAATGTTAAAAATTTATCCGTGATTTAGTGAGTTTTCAAAAAATGATATGTTACTATTGTAATATTATTTTTGTTACAATTTATTAGTGATTTTCACCCCCAAAATTTTAAGCAAAAAATATTTTTTGAAGTTCAAAAAGATTTATGAACATATTTTGATAAAAATTTTATTTCTTCTTTGTAAAAAAATCCTGGAATTCTTTTGTGAATTTTATTATAAATGAATAATCTTTTAGGTGAAATCCTTAATAGTTTTTTTTTAAATTATTTTTATAAAATTATCTCTTTTTAAAGTATATCAAAAGAGGTGGGTTTTCTAAATAATTTTTTTAAAAAGATTTATATTAAACTTATTTATGTTATTTTATATGATCTTTTTAAGGAAAATGATTTCATGTGACAATTGTCATATTCGTTATTGAAGATGTTCCTTGGAAAAATGACAATTCTCATTCTCGGTATTTTTTAACATATTAGATTTTTTTGACGCTAAAATATGTATTTATAACATGTTAAATTAAAATTTCAATTAGGATGTACCATATAAAAGTGATAATTATCATAATCGTTATTTTTAAAATTTTGATGTAAATGTGCCAAAGTAAATATTGTTAACATGTATAAATAACACTTCAGTGAAGTACCCTAGATAAGTGACAATTGTCATAATTCTTATTTTTAAAGTTTTTTAGATTTTTTTGACGTAAATGGGTAAAAATATAGATTCTAAACATGTTAAATTAAAGTTTCATGAAGACTTACCATAGAAAAGTGACAATTGTCATAATCGTTAACTTTATAGTTTTATGAATTTTTTTGACGAAAATGGGTTAAAATAAGTATTGCTAGCATGTTTAAATAAAACGTGAAGATGTACCCTAGATAAGTGACAATTGGCATAATTATTATTTTTAAACTTTTATGAATTTTTTTGACGTAAATGGGCCAAAATAAGTATTGTTAACATGTATAAATAACACTTCAATGAAGATGTGCCATAGATAAGTGACAATTGTCATAATAGTTATTTTTAAAGTTTTGTGTAATTTTTGACGCAAATGGGTAAAAATATAGATTGTAAACATGTTAAATTACAATGTCATGAAGATGTATCATAGAAAAGTGACAATTGTCATAATCGTTATTTTTAAAGTTTTTTGAATTTTTTTGACCAAAATGGGTAAATATAAGTATTGCTAGACTGTTTAAATAAAATTTCAGTGAAGATGTACCCAAGATAAGTGACAATTGTCATAATTATTATTTTATTATTTTTTTGAATTTTTTTGACTTAAATGGGTTAAAATAAGTATTTCTAACATGTTTAAATAAAACTTCAATAAAGATGTACCCTTAAGTGACAATGGTCATAATCGTTATTTTTAAAGTTTTTTGAATTTTTTGAGCAAATGGGTAAAAATATAGATTGTAAACGTGTTAAATTAAAAATTCATGGAGATGTACCATGGAAAAGTGAAAATTGTCATAATCGTTATTTTAAAGGATTTTTGATTTTTTTTGACTCCAAAAGGTTAAAAAGATTGTAATCCAATTTTACCATATATTTATAAAATTCAGAATCTCCATTAAATTTATAGGCTGTTTTTTGAATCATATTATTAAATAATATTCAATGGTTATTAAGTTATTTTCATAAAAATCTTAAATTCACACTCAGAACTATTTTGCCACGAGTATACAAAAATATTTGCTAACTGTGAATGCATGGTTATACATTTTAATAGATGTAGAATTAAAAATTTTATTAATTAAAGGAATAAAATTGTGAATACATATCTTAAAAGTTTAGAATTTAACATGAGTTACAACTATCTTTAATAATTACTTTGCATATATTTATCAAATTTTGGGCAGGATAAAAGGGACAACGATTTTTAATTTGTTTTTTCTGTTTCGACAAATGGTACTAACACATTTGCCAAAAACATATAAGAAGCTAATGATTAAAGATTGTTATAATTGGAGCTTTTCTGAATTATTTCAATAAAATTTAATCAAAATATCTTCTTTTTTTAAAAAATTCTCAAAAAAATATTGGAAAACTTTAAATATAACGATTATGACAATTGTCACTATTCTATGGTACATCATCATAAAATTTTAATTTAACATATTTACAATTGATAATTTTACCCATATGCATCTAAAAATTTGAAAAAAAACTTTAAAAACAACGATTATGACAATTGACACTATCTATGGTATATCTACACCGAAATTTTATTTTAACATGTTAGCAATTTATATTATTGCACATTTGCGTCAAAAAAATTCAAAAAACATTAAAAATAACGATTATGACAATTGTCACTTATCTAGGGTACATCTTAACTGAAATTTTATTTTAACATGTTAGCAATATTTATTTTAGCCAATTTAGGTCAAAAAAATTCAAAAAAGTTATATAATGACAATTGTCACTTTTCTATGGTTCATCGTGAAATTTTAATTTAACATGTTTACAATCTATCTTTTTGCCCATTTGCATCAAAAAAATTTAAAACTTTAAAAATAAGGATTATGACAATTGTCACTTAACTAGGGTACATCTTCACTGAAGTTTTATTTATACATGTTAACAATATTTACTTTACCCAATTTACGTCAAAAAATTTAAAATTTTTTTAAAATAACGATTATGATAATGATAATTTTTATATGGTACATCTTAATTGAAATTTTAATTTAACAGTTAAATATACATATTTTAGAGTCAAAAAAATCTCTAATATGTTTAAAATACCGATTATGATAATTGTCATTTTTCCAAGGAACATCTTCTATAACGAATATGACAATTGTCACATGAAATCATTTTCCTTAAAAAGATCATATAAAATAACATAAATAAGTTTAATATAAATATTTTTAAAAAAAATTATTTAGATAACCCACCCATTTTAATATATTTAAATAGATAATTTTACAAAGTTGATTAAAAAAAAACTGTTAAAGATTTTACCTAAAAAATTGTTTATTTATAATAAAATTCACAAAAGAATTCATCAAAAAAAATTTATTTACAAGGAAGATTTAAAATTTTTATCAAAATATGTTCAAAAATCTTTTTGAACTTCAAAAAATATTTTTTGCTTAAAATTTTTGAAGTGAAAATTACTAATAAATTGTAACCAAAATAATATTACAATAGTAGCATATCATTATTATTTATTAAAAAAACATTAAATAACAATATGTTGTTTTCCTTTAAATAAATGCATTCTCAATATATTTATTGTTTTGCGGCAATGCGCTCGCGATAATAACTTCGCGCACATATTCCCTGTAAAAAATTTACTGTAAAGGGTTCGCCTAAGAAGTTTCGCTAAAATATATTCGCTCTAATAAATTTGCGGTTAAGGTTTAGCGGAAATAAATTCTCGATAGTGGCTTCGCTAAATTATCTTCGCTATAAATGTTTCGCTGAAAAAAATTCGCAGAATTGGTTTCGCGATATTACCTTCGCTATAAAAACTCTTCACTATAAACGACATTCGTGATTTTCGCGATAAAAATGTCGTTGAATAGACCTGATACGACGCATTATCGCTATTACTACTTATTAAAAAATTACGTTTATAGTTACCGTTTAAAAAAATATAGCTTGGCTACTTTTTTTTTGTTTATAATTTTATTTCAAAGTAGTTATTGATTATAATAGAATTATAAAAAAAAATGACAAAAATGAATGTAATAAAAATAATCATGTGTGGCAAATTTTTTAAAATTGATTTTGGAAGATAATATTAAAATCATTTCTATATCATTATCCATAAATCTAGACCGACACCGATGATCAGTAAGTAAATATTGCCTTATTATAATAATCGCTCTATAGGAGTAAGAAATTGCAAAATGGCATGCCCGACAAGAAACTTTCGACATCAAGTAACAGTATTTTGAATCTAGATGGACACATAGACTAGGGGTAAAATTTCTATTATTAAATTCAAAACGGGCTTGAAAATTTTATCAATCTAATAGTAATACCAATTTTAGTGCCCTTGGAGAAATATCAGAATTGCCTAAATCAAATGTTAGATAAAGTTGAAACATTAGATTCAATACGATAGCTAATTTTTTTGCATTGGAATAACAAATAATTTAATTACACAATAAATTTATGCAATATTCTTCAAAAAAGATATGGATTTGGCTGGAAGTAATCACGAATATTATCATATTGCTATTAGAAAACTAATCATATACCACGAATTTCTAGAGATTTCTATGATTGTTGAGGCTAAGGGGAAATTATATGATTTTTGATATTCGCAAGGCATTTCATCTAGAGAAATAAATCGTTCAAAATTAAATTAAGGATTACAATAATAACCGTTTTTATTCCACTTTTAGATAGATTTTTGTTCCAAATCATTTAAAAATTTATGATACATCAAATGACTCAATCAGAACCTAAAGAATATTATTCTTCAAAACAAAATCAGCATATTACTATTTTAAAATATAATTATTCATATTTATAGGGAACTTGTAGTCCCACCTCCGTTTTTATAGAATAAGGTTTTATTTTATTTTATATTTGATATGTTAATTTTCATATAATTTTATTTGATAGATTATAACAATGATATTTTATTTTAACAAAAAAAAAATTAAACTCCCATGATCTGAAGATATATTAAATATTTATATTGAAAAATTTAATATTTAGACAAATTTTATTCAAAGGATATAAATATATCTAAGGAATTAGTGAATTTAATTATATATGTACGTTTAAAAGAAATATCGATTGCTATTTCAAGACATATAACAAAAGATGTCCTGTCGCCTATAACAAATTAAATTTTGATTACTTAGATGTCACATCACACGCCATAGTTTTCTTGCGATATAGTAGATTGCAACATGTGTTTTTGGAGGATTTAGTGCTGAAATGATATGGAAGATTGGAAATTTACTAATTCAAATGACATTCCCAATAATATGAATATATTTACATATTACAGTTTATATACTGGTTTGATAAATTTTTCAAATACTATATAATTATTGATATATTCATATTTAGTAATATGTATACTGTTCATTGTATGGATCATATATGCACTATTTTTTCATAGTAGAATCACTGGCTATATCTTAACAAAATTTATCAATCTCTTATTAATTTCAAAGAAGCAAAATGTGAAATTTGGTATTAATTACATTTCTATATGATTAAAACTTATAATTAGGGTCCTTATCCATTTCTTTTCTTTCTGGCAAAATTATGTTTAGAGATGTGCACATAATAAATAAAGATTTTTCTGCAAGAATATGTGATGGGTACATTAATTTCCGATGGTGGATACCTTTAAATGACACATTTAGTTTACATAATGGTATAATATAACTCTTAAAATTAAATTTTAAAGATTTAATAGGATATTCACTTCATCGTATATACTGTGTTTGTAATGGACTTGAATTATTTATATTTAATAGAACAAACATGTATTCTAAACTAGCTACATCCTATGAAAATATGTACATTAATACCTCTAAGTAAAATTTTTTTTTTTACTTGTATATTATTACTAGCCATATTAAAAATATAAATTAAGAACTGCATTACATTTGCAAAACAATATTTTTTCATTGTTTCAGTAACTAGGATGTGATGTTAAATGACTTTATTTAGCTATTTTAAATAACTAACTCATGACAAATTTTTTTCACATAAGTCAAGAATTTACACACAGATAGCAGAAAGGTTTGGACATCTATTAGCAAAATCTAGAGACTAAGGCAATGTTTATTTATAGCTAAGTAGTTTAATCATTTTAATAACATTACCTAAAATATACCCTCAATATTTTTTGTTGAATTGTAATTATTAAGACTAAGACCAAATTTGTAACTAGCATGATGTGAGAATTTATTGTTAATGTTGTGTGGATTTAGGTTTGCTTGAATAATTTCACAATGCTAGAAATCCTACTATAATATCACTTGGACAGCGATGATTGATTTAATAACATTTATTATATATAATATATGTAGGAAAAATACTATTAGACTAAATGATGCTAGTATTAAGACAGAAAATACAAACCCAAACAAAGAATTATGGCTTACATTTTTCCCCATTATGAAGTTTCAAGTTTCAAATGTAAATCATTTATATATCATTATAAAAAATAATAAATATATTTAGACATATTATATTGCTCAGAATTTTTTTCCTTAAGGGCTGAAAATTAATATTAGGTCATAACTTGATTGTCTTATTTCTAAACAGTCATCTGTTTACCCGTCTGTATAGCTTCACCTGAACAATTTAGCAAGAGAAAGGCTATTTAGAATTACATAGTTGGCAAATATAATTTGTTTTATTTGTACCAAATATATATAAAAAATATAATTTATACAAACTTAAAACAAACCAAAATACTGTGCCCTATGCTGTGCCAATTTTGGTGACTCAGGGCAAAAAACTATTTTGGCAGTCCTTTAAGAACATAATTTATCTAAGCTTTGAAAATTTTCTGTATATTGACAAAAACTTAATATAAAATTTATTGAATTTTGATCATAAATAAGAGTAACACATATTAAAAATGTTAATATAATGCATATACCATGTATGTAATCACAGGCTTATCATATAATCATTAAATAATAAAAAAAAGTAGTATAAACATTATCCTCCTCACTTTTTTATTCACAAAAGAGATTATTATGTTAGTAAAATAATCCTGAAAACAATGGATATATTTGGAGGGCTTTATTTAGTCTATTAGTGTAAATATAACTCAAAATTTCTAAAGGACTTATTGTGGCTTGCTTGCATAATATATTTGTTAAAATTTTTAATTAAACATATTTTGATCCCTGAAAATATTTAATTGATTACTATTTTTTAGCTACATTTAAAAAACATGTACCAATGCAGGTATATAGAATAAAAACCCAAGGATCCTTAAAAAGTTTAACTGCTGAAAACATTCTTCCAACAAAATATTCGCATGATCTAGTAATACATCAAAAAAATCAAATTATATAACATGTGTTCTTCATTATCAATATTGATTATTTCTCTCATCAGATGCGGCACACGATGCACTTTTTAAAAATATTTTAAAAGAGCTCGTTTTTGAGAATGAATAAATTCAGCTTCTCCCTCCTTCTTTTTTTTTATTTCTCTTTTTTTTTATTTCTCAGCACCTAAATCAAATTTGTTTCTATACAAAATTATAAAACACATTTCATATCAATTCGGGTTTGCATCCACTGTTTGACAGTAATTTACCCTACTGCCAGAGCCCGTTCAATTTAAGAGGACTGACGGTACCTCTTGTGGATAAGCCAGGATCCAACTATTGACAGTAATTAGCATAGATTATTGGTCAGAATATAGAAATAAGAAAATATATAATTAATAAATATTGTGCTTATCTTTTTAGAGAGTTTGTTTCAATATAGTGAATATTTGATGATAATCATTTTTTATAGGTTTTAAAATGATTATGTAAATCCATAGAACACTTGCCTATCATTTATTACCATTAAAATGGCGGCTGGTTTATCTAATCCAACCAACTCATATAGAGCCTTTAGAGCATTTTATGATCATATATTATTTTATTTACTAAGAAAATTATCCTCTATTTTATAGAACTATTTTTTAGAGACCTGCAAGAGACAAATATATTCTACCCTACCCATAGGGAAAAAAATATTTTCCTGACTCAACCCGAAATAAAAAATAATTACAATTTTCCAACCCAGCTCATTAGTGGCTAGAGTTTTCGGGTCGGGTCTAGCAAGCTTCTAATTTAATTATTATTCGCTTATACAAGAATTACTAATAATCAATTCCTAAAGTCGATTCATTATGTTATTTTTTTTTAAAAAAGGGAAAAATTGTATTTGGCAATCATATGTTGCCAAATCAATTCGCTATTTCGGTAGAGGAAACCAAATTTTATTATATAACTCGCCCGGCATCTTATACTTCAGATCCTTATTGCGAAAAGATAAAAGGAAAAGCGGTAGGTTTGCAAATACTGTTGATAAAAAATGAAATATATACCGATAACACTAACTTCCAGTATGAATGGTAAACAAACAAACACGAATATTCAAACAAAAAAATGATAAAATAAATTAAAAGAATGTCGAAAAAGGAATGGAAGGAAGATATATTATTGAGAAGCAGGGAGGTTAAAAAAAATGTTGGGAGGATTGTGAAGGATTAGAAAGTGTTAGACTCTATGAGGATGGTGGAACATTAGAAAGTGTTAGACTCTTCATTTTTTAATAATCAAAGGAATAGAAGTGATGTCTACTTTTTAAATTATCCTCTACCATATGTTCATCATTAATAGGCCACCTATACACATGATTAACGATCGCTTAATAATAGGAGCTTGCGAAAAACTAGAGTTCGAGCATTATCAAGATAAACCCGGTTTTGATGTTTCTTCTACAGATGATTATCCCTCATGGGGAGTCAATGTCGATTTCGTTAAAAATTGCGACTTTCTTTACGGACCTTGGGTTGATAAGAACAGGTTATTAATATTATTTAGGATTATTAATTAATAATATAGTGAAAATCGACGGTCTAGTTCGGTTTTGTTAGGTTAAAACCAAAACGATTGGCGGGCTAACTGGCCCCGGACTTACCTTTTCTTACATTCTCATCTCGCATACATCTTTAAGCATAACGGTTCTGATAGAAACCTATCAAATATTATATTCACTGAGATTTAAAAATAAAACCAATTTTATACAAACATTTCATATTACCTTTAATTATTTATAAGTTACAATTGGATATAAATAAAATAATAAGGGGCTAAGAAGAAAAAAAACTGAAAATAATAAATTTATTTTTAAAAACTTCTTTTTTTAAAAAAATTACAAGAGAATACCTGTACAATTTCTTTTTTCCGACATTTCACGAGGATTATAATGAAAGATTATCAGCTAACAACGAACTCCAACCTAGGCTTCCTAAGTGTTTTAAGTGCAAGCTTCAATTTTTGGATTCTTATAATAACCTGGACATCATTTTCGGGAAATATAAAGTAGATATATGTTTATTTTATTCTAAGATAAATGCCAGAGACCTGCTTTGGCTCAGTAAAGTCATACTTTTAGGGTACCAGGAACACAGCGATGCGTTGCCTAGTACGCATTAGGGTCCTTTTGATTGGCTGTATCCTCAGTTTTTGATGACCATCTTTAATATAACCACTTATACCGCGCAGAAAATACATCTCTCTTTTTTATTTCTTACCATGTGCCGAAATTTAAAAAACTATAATTATAAAAATTTATGCCGGGTTATTATAGACTAAAGGATACAACTAAAAAATACAAACGAGATCTACAGGATGCTCATACGTTCTTTAGGGCCAACATTGTAGTGGAAGGCTTTCCTTTATCATTTTTATAATAAACTTGATTAAATTAGTTTTAATTATATAGAGCTAACTTGGCAATCGGCTATCATTAAATTTTAGACATTAGAAATAATAGAATCATTCGAGCGGATATGTATAAATGATCATGAGCACAAAACATTATGCCAATACCATTTTGTAAAAAAGCTTAATTTACAAAATATTACAAATTTTATTTATTTGAATTTTGTTTTTATTTGTCATTCCAGCAAAACCTCGTAAAATAGCATTTTTGAAATTGTTCAGGAGAGACAAAAAAAAACTATTACTTTATAATTAATAACATGGTGCATACCAATTGGATAGAAGTAGAAGCGTTTAACTTCTTTTTTTTAAATGTAACCTTCGTTGTTTAAATTGATGCGGTTAATTTTAGATAATAAAACAACAAAAATATAACTCAAAATATTTTGCATTTCTTTGGAATATTTTGTTCTTACCGTATCTTGTTTTATTAATTTCAAACGAGATCTTTAAACTCAAAATTTTGGAAAATATTTTGGTATTCACAAAATCCTTATTTTTTTAGATGACAAACCTTGAAGGGTAAAGATCTATTAACCATTGCTAAAAATAATCGCAAAAAACCATAGGGTCTGTAAATTTCATTTTTTAGGAAAGATCAATAAATGAAATAAATATGATATCATAAAAAGTAACTTTGATCAAACTAAGTATGTTTTATAAATGGTAAATTCCATGATAAAATCAACAAAAAAACAGGATTTTCAACACTATCCCTTCAGATTTTTCTAAAATATTTACAAGAGTTAATGCGTATTTTAGCCTCCAACTTCTAATAATGGCTGTGATATGGGCCTCTAAATATCGAAATAATCGGGCATTTTGTGCAAAATGCAGTCCTTTAAATTTTAGATATCTTTGGATATAGTTTAGCTAAAAGTGTCATTTGAATTTCTTTATTTGCCCTATTGGTAGGCCTTTAAAAGTTTTTAATGCGTAAGATCATAAAATTAAATCAGCATTTTTTTCTTTCAATTTTATTTTGGATATGGAGATCTCTAAATAATTTTCAAGTTGGGCCCACTAGATTAGGAGATATGGCATTTAAATCATTATTCTATTGCAAATATTCTATATAAATATTTGATATTAATAAATAATTGTAATGTAATAAAATGTTATCATTTAATAACTGGAAAATTTTTTTTTGGCTGGAGATAGAGGGCGAATTCGCTCTGAATATGAATTCAGGGTAGGCTTTGAGGAGTTGAGGAACGGAAATACCAAGCGTATTAACCCAATGATGCCCCTTAAGGCCAGAATTTTTTAAAAAACGTATTTTATTTAAATATTTTTTTGAATTGTTTTTTATTTAAATTCGAATGAGTTTTTTTTTGAAAGATTTCCCAACCCTGAGAATGCCACTTCTTTACACTCATTTTTTTTAAAGGATTTACTTGCTTTTTTTTTAGCTTTCGAGGTTTCAATCAAGGACATGCCTGTTTTTTTCATGCCATTGATTGAAACCCTTGTTTTTTTAATATGAGCTTATCTCAATAATTATAAAATTTTGAAATTAAACACTATGACAATCAAGCTACGAAATATTAGCCAACCATTTTAATGGAAAGGAAGGAAAGAAAGATTGAACGATTAAATTTAGAAAAATAAATTAATATAAACAAACAATTTGATCAAACAAGAAAAATAAGTCCCTACTTCTCTCATTCGAGAAGGGGTCCACAATAGATTTGTCGATACCTTTCAGCAAAGATGTTTATGATCACGTGAATTCATCACCTAACTCAGAACTAGATTCATTGAATGAATCACTGAACGAATCACATCTACGATTTGAGTTGATAAAGGCTGATCTGAAGAACTTGGCAATCAATACGAATTTGCCCTACAAACAATTCATGGAATGTTTCGATTTTGAAGTAATTTAATTGCATATGAATATTTTATAATTTTTTTTTATACTTTAAAAATCAATGCTTATGGGTAGCACCTAATCACGTATTAGAATAAAATTTGAAGTGTCACAAAATAACATTTAAGAGGAATGTAAACTTTTCTTCTCACCCTTTCCTTAAAAATTTAGAATCTGGCTCATAAAATTTTCTCTTATGATATATTTCTAGTTTGCGCTGAGAATTAATTACAAGAGACATTTTAACGACATTCAAATTTGGGATTTCGAAATTGGATTGATCAATTCTACACTTTTTGGATTGTACCAACATAAATCTTTTATAACGGGTAAAAAAAAATAAAATAAATAATATTATTTGATGAAATTTATAATTTTCACTTCTCATTCTTATTTTAAATTTATTCGGCTAACATCCTCCCCCACCCCCACCTTACATAATATAAATATAGTATTATTTAGATATAATCACGGGAGTTTTTGTGGGACCTCTAAATTTTCTCTGAAAATCTAAGATACTTTAAATTTGAGTGAATGTTAAAAAAATTACCTTATAGCTCTGAATATAATACTTTTTTAAAATTATACTTTAAAATGGATAATTAACTAAAATTGGGTTTAATTATAAATATCCTTCATTTTTAAAAAAAAAACATGTAGCATTATTAAACGACTGGTCAAGAGGTCCTGAAAAATTGGATATCCTCACCTTTTCCCCCTTCATATGGCATTTCAAAATCAAAAACGAAAATTTTGGCCTCATGATCTTTACGGATCGGTATAATTACGTGAATTGTGACATACACTTGTTAGGCAATTGCCTTTTAAACCTGAGGGCTTCGCAATTCGCCGCTTATTTTGATATACGGGGACATAAATTCGCGCCTGTTTCTAAAAAAATTCAATTTTCTTGCGAGGTTAAAAACTTAAGTTGTTGATAGTTTTTTTTTAAAAAAACTGAATAAAAATATTAACAATATGGTATAAACCCGATTATAAGGGCCCCCAAGGTAGAGGTATTGGCTATCCGTATTCCGACTCAATTTGGGTCAGGTTAGGATATAAATATCCTCTTATTTTCGGGTCGGGTTGTAAGAGGTGTCCCACCAATTCATAATGTCAATCAGAATATCAGAATAACATGTCGTTTTCAATTATTATTTTACATAACATCCATTTACCAACTATTTTGTTATTATATCTTTATGTTGTTATTATTACATACTTTACTTACATCATTTCTATCAGGTTAATTAAAATTTTATCAAATATCTATTTAATTAACTCAAATTTTCAATATTTAAAATCGTTTACCAAATCTTAAATTGGTGGGAGACTTACGAAAACGAATTTCCCAATTTAAGCGTTTTGGCTCTTAAATTCCTGGCTATTCATGCTTCATTAGCTAGCAGTGAATGGGCGATTTCAGCGGCTGGTAGGGACTTTGAAGATAAAAGGACTTGTTTAAATCCTGAAAACTCGACTCATCATTATTTATATATCTCAATCCATTATAACATGCACATTATTTTTATATAATCGCAATAATTTTTAAATTCGTAAACTGAATAAAAAGTATATGTTTCCAGCAAATTAAATGCTTAATATAGATATTGATTAAACTTTTATTTATGGTAATACACATAATTTTTAATTGTTTTATGGATGTTATAATGTTAACATTCAAATTTTAAAAAAGTTTAGCCGGGTTCGGGTCAGATCGAAATAATTTGAATTCGCAGACAAATTTTTTTTGAAATCCGGGCTCGAATCGCGAAAAAATCACTTTGCAGACTTGTGCCCCAAGATATAGGAAGTTGTAGACGGTTATGCCGGAAACGTCATTTTTTTTAAATCATATATAGAACCGGAAATGAAAACGCTAAAAGTGAAGGAAAAAAGTTATAAACGGGAAACATAACTAAAACTAAATTTTTAATAGTTCAGGAGGAGAGTTGTTTATTATATCAAACAAATTACGATTTTTTTAAAAAAACTTAATAAATAATATGAAAGATGAAGTAATAAAATCAAAGTTTACTAAATATATTTTGTTATCTTTTTTTCGATCAAAGACCGAACAAACCAAACTATTTATGCACGTTCCAGACTACATGACTGTCAAAACGCTATTACTCTGTCTGCAAAAGGAAGCCAGAATCATAGATTTAAACAATAATGTCGCATCAATCCCTCGATTGGATAAAAATATCGAAAATTCGCGAAACGCATTAAACCAAAGTGAAAGTGATAGATTTAAGTAATAGCAATTTTTTTTTCTCATGTGTATATTTGTATACAGCGAAACCTATCATTAAGGTTCTCCTGAGCCGAGCATCTAAATATAAAAATGATATTAGGATGGGTTCATTAAAATAATTTGATATGTCATATTACCGCACGTTGAGCGGTAGATTTATCGAGGTTTGGTCATAATTAGAAACTAATAAATAAATATAATATCAATAATTTAAATTATCTTTTCATTAATATCAACAATTTTATATTATATAATGTAGTCATGATCAAGTTAAAATGTTTTGGATCAATTGTTGGGAGGTAACGAGATTAAACTTCGAACTAATATATACTTATTATGCCGAATATTCTTCCGATTCCAATATAAACAAGTTTCTAAGACATTAAAATATTATACTCGCTGACAAATATTATACTATAAAATAATGTTTATATAAGACTGGAGTTTTACAGTAAATAGAAATAACTATTCTATTTAAGAATAAAAATTAAATTAAATAATTAGGAAAGAAAGAAAGAAAAATATATCAGGAATTTACAATAAATTTTTTATCCAAAGTCGTTATACCGATAATGCAGCACAAGTCAATATTTCTTCTCCTAAGACGGTTAAAAATAACGAGAATCTCTACGATACGATGGATGTTTCTGTAACACTTTGCCCCTCTACCATATATTTAAATGGAATGTTTTTGAACCAATTGCTTCATTTTAAAGTAATTTTTTTTAATAAAAAGTAATGAGCCAATAAGGAACCGCTAAATTTAAATGTTTATTTTTTTAAAGGAAAATTATTTTGGCGAGTGCCAAAAGTTCAACCCGCTACCTATGACTTGCCCTAACATTTGCCACGATGTGTCCAACGAAATCTTTTCTCATCTCGATATTAATATCGATATAGATATTGAAGCACCGCGCGTCTATTTGATTAAGGTTTTATTTGTAATTACCGGATAAGATTTAGATATTTGATTTTTTTTTTATTGGAAGAGCTTATAAAGAGTATTTACATTTCTTTTTATCAGGGTGCCGAACCGAACCGCGAACCCAAGATAAACCGTTATAATTATCCGAACAATATGAGAAAATTTTGAAAGGGAAAAACCAAAACTAGAAAAATTGACCTGTTTTTGGCCAAAATGGAAGACTGGAGATTTCGCTCATAGATGGCAGAAAGGTTTGGTTCTCTATTTGCCAAATCTTAATCAGGTCATTTAAAAATGACCCGAATCGGTCTTTTTAGCAACCCTAACCGAAACGTTATAAAAACTTTCGAACAATTTCACACCTGTTTTTGAAATTGTATTTATTTATTTTTAAATGAAAGACAATAATTTAAAATAATGTTTATAATAAAATAATTTCCTATAACTTCCTTATTTTTAAAAAATATTTTTTATTAGATTATTACGTGTCAACAAACTGATATGTACGATAATTAATTATAGAAAACTAAAACTTTATGAAAACAAGTTCGAACCGAAAATAGAAATGAATTTGTAAACAAACCGAAACAAACATCATTTAGAAATAACTGTAATATAACTAAACCATTTTAAAATTGTAAATTAGAACCGAAATGCAATTAAATCTTGTATACCGATCGGTTCGACACCCTGCTTTTCATATAGCCATAATGGTTTATGCCCAAACTTGATTATTCATTATTTCAGAATTTTTTTTAAACAAATTACTCAAATTGTCGAATCGAATAGAATTGAGGTCAGTGTTATTAAATGGCTTGTTTAGAGCCTATTTTTAAATTTACTGACTCAATATTTTAACCAGAAAAATATTGCCTAAGGCCTCGAGATTTCTCTAATAGATATCCAAACTTTTATGCGCCATCTATGAGCAAAATCTTCAGGCTTGTGTAATATTTTTCTGGATATAAAATATTGAGTTCTGAAAATCGGCTCAAATCCAGTCGTTTAACAACGCTAATTGAGGTATATAAGTTTTTTGATAGTTTGAAAAACGGTAATGGATTTACATAGTTGTATATTGATAGGGATTAAAGTCAGAAAATAGAGTTTGGACGTGGCTTTCAATAAAATATTTTTGTTTAGTTCATTCCCTATTTTTAGGAATAAGTTTAGTTTTTTTAAAAAATATTGTTCCTCGCATCGCCGTTCTTGTTTCTTTACGAATTTAGTGATTGACATATTAAAAAAAATAACTTATTCGAATTTGTAATAATTGGAAATTAAATATGGATGCAGGATTGTTTGGAAATCTTCAGAGAATATTGTCCTCATCTTGATTTGGAAAACATTCGCTTTTTGATGACGAAATCTATCGACGAAACTAAATTTAAATTAGCCGTGTCGCCGTTTACCTTGACAGTTCCCGAATTCAGCGATATCACTGACACGACCAATAATAATTCTAAAAATCAAGTAATACTTATATTAAATTAGGCATATGATTAAAGACACTCATAAATATGATATTTTTGTTCTCGGCATAAAGGCGGCCTGCCGATGGCCCATGATTTTATACTTTTTGTTTGAATCAGAGTGTTCAGTGTAAGTTCTATTTTTATTGTTTTATTTATCACCATCTTTTCTACGTACAAAAGTGTAACTAATTGTATATTTATTTTTTATTTATTTAAAAAGTTTAGCGTGATCAATTTATGTGGGTTTATAATTGTTTATATGGTCACATGGCTTAAAGTTCGCAATTTTTTTTAAAGCCTTAAAATTTAAGCCAATATATAATCTTTTTTTGCTTTATCTAAAAAATTATCACCGACTGGACAGGACAAAAATGTTTTAAAATTATTTTGTGGGCCGTGTTGGAAATTTTTTTTATTGATTTATTTAAAAAATTTTTTTTATCCTATTACTTATGAAGTTTCGAATCAGAATATGGGACGCTAGAAACCGTTTTTAAATCTCGGAACCAAAACCCGCTTTTAAATTTTTTTAAGAACTTCAACCCAAATTATTTTTTAAAAAATTCATATATTATAATTTAAATAAAGGGACCGAATAATACTAGCAGTGTTTTGTTCGCTAACGGATTATTGTTTAAAGGGAGAGCCCTCTTCTCCAGAAGAGAACTTTCCATACTTCAAGAATCGTTGGAATATGGCTGGATCACTAATTGCGATATTGAATCCCTGAACGGAAACTTTTCACCCAAACATGTAACTTATAAATATAATTTTCAGTAAAGAATAAAGAAGCTAGGGATTTAAATACGTTTTATCTTTTTTTTTGGAGGTTTTCTGGAATATATAAGAAATATTCTTTATAGTCAGCATGATTAAAAGAACTATTTATGGTTGTTGTTTCAGGTTTAAACTTTATCTTTATAAAAAATTTTCTTTCTAAAAAATTTTAACATATTAAACTCTATAATTATATTTTGAATTTAAGAAAATATCAATATTATATCATTCATACTTTGCGCCAAATTTTTATTATAATTTTTTGTACAATAAGTACATTTTATTTATTAATTTTTTTAAATTACTAGTTTTACACTTTAGTCGATGCCCTGAACTGCATAGCTCTTACTTTTAAATTATCTTCCCAATCCTGCTCACCGATACCTCCCAAAATTGTTGACGCAAATCAAGGGGCGGAAGATTCGGTGAAAACAACTTTGCAAATTGATAAGATGCGTCTTAAGGAATTGAGAAATGATCACGCGAATAGCCATAAAATAGTGGTTTCCCCTTTCTACCCAATCGAAACTTTTAGATTTACTCGTTTTGGTTTCGAATTTAAAGGTTGCGATGCTAGAATTTCAACCGCAGTTAATATGCCAAGTTCTGGCCATAGAATACTGGTTATCAAGGTTTAAATTTATGTTTTTTAAAGGCTTCTTTTTATAAAAAAGAATCATCGTTTTTATCACTTAGACATGTTCAAAAAAACGCTTTCTCCTAAAATAAATATTTTAGGCACTCTTTAATTGAGTTCTTGCGTCTAAGCAACTTTTACTCTTTCCTTAGCCTAGCGATGGCAGGACTAAATTGATGATATCGTTATTACTAATTAAGATTTAATTGGTTTAAATTTTTTAAATAAAATTTTAAATTTATTTTCATAAAAAATCATATTGTTTGGCATTACGCTATGTCATGAAATCACGTTAGATTTACAAATAGTTTTTGATCAATGTCGTTTTAAGTTATTTTGGAGTGTCTCCCAATTTAGTTGGGGTATTGCGTTGTTGATTCTATGGCTTCGGGAAACCAAAAAACAAAGCTCGTATTTTGGTTTTAAAATAACCCTTGTTTTTAGTTTATATAACATTTATATAGATTCCGCCCATATCATACGTTTCTAGCAATTTAATAGACCCCCTAGACCAAACTATCGCGTCTCAACTAAGCATACCCAGTTCAGCATCCATTTCTCTTTATCATGAATACGCTCCTTTACTTAGTATTGAATGCGCTCATATAATCATCCCAGCGTTGCGTGTAAATATAAACGCGAATCCAACAAGAATTGATGGTTTTCCTATATATATAAATATGAATTATCTCATTTTATATTTTTGTTCAAAATTTTTTTTCTCACTTCTTGAAAAAAAAACATATATTCTACAGACTTCTTTTCCTTAGATAAATTTTTTTTAAAACTGAAATTAGTAGAGCCAGTTATTCCAATAGTATTGATTAAAATAATTTCTAATTTAAATAACATCATTTGTGCGAATACTATTGATTGGCATAAATAAAAAAAATTTTTTAAAAAAAAGAAAAGTTTTATGCAATTTATATGAAATTAAATTATAATTTAAAAAATAATCGAATGTTGCATTATTTAATTTGTTATGATGATATGCTAAATATTCCTTTGAATATTCCTTAGTTTGTTTTCTAAAATTGAATTGATACATAAAATATTTTTTATTAGTTTTAAATTAAATAAACCAATTTGCTGCTCCCATCTCCACCAGTATTCTGGTTATGGCCCATGGCTAATACATTATGGATATATAATGTATTACCTTGATTTAATTAAGATCACTTCAACAAATCTAGCTCGATGAAGCCACGCAACTTATCTCTCATTCAAAGACGCTTTTTGACTTTTCACGACAGATCTACTCATAGATTACCATTTCTATATGATAGTATGTTGTTCCAATCTGATAATTTGCTAAACGAAATAGAAGCTAACTTCGATACCGTTGGTAAAGTTGCCTCCGGAATATCTAGACCTCAACGAAATCTTGATGCCAAAAATTATATCGGGATTGAAGGTTTTATTTTATTTTTTTTAATATAAGATTTTATATCGAAAATAGCTATTTTAACCCTATTCCTTATTACTCTCTTTTTTTGCTTGTTTAGATAAGCTACATTACCACTTTTCGCACTCCAACTCTATCGATCACAATCTTACCTTGAATAACAGCCCAATAAACGAAGCAGACAAAAACATCAATTACAACATGCCTACCAGTTACGATAAGATAAGCCTTGGCAGCGACCAATTTTCTTCTGCCAAATCTTCAATCTCATCTCTCGAAACGTCGCCCGGTTCTTTTGATACTCAACAAGTGCAAACAAACCCATCTCAAACTAAAAGCAGCGACGGGTGTCAAACGGAATCGGTAATTCTGACTGGTCAAAGGAAACGACCTCTGACCCAATCTCCTCTATTGATGGCTGGTTACCTAGATTTTTGTGATAGATATGAGCTAGTAAATGACGTTCATTGTCCCGAGAAAATTGACAATATTGGGAAGATGGCATCGATATCAGGGAATAGTAGAGGGATACATACGCTACTCGTTACGGAAAAAAAGGGAGAAGGTGACGGTCATTATATGACCACAGAAGGAGTTTTTAGAAGGAGTCGAATTAATAGGTATGAAAATAAGACCCTCTCTCCCCTTCGTCGTAGAGTTTTATTTAGGGTGGGAGGGGGATATCCAATTTTTTTTGATTTTCCTCGAAAAATTCGAGACATATATGAGTTGCAGCTATGTAAATAGGCCATCACTAAACCATATTTTTATAAAATGTTTACGGCTATTCATGGCTATAGCTGTTATAGTTTCTAAATGCTGACAATCGAAATAGACGACAGATTGTAATGGATAATGAATTTTATGATAACTAAAATAAAAATTATTAAATATATTCGCACTTTTTTTAAAAAAAAGTCGGTTATATAGTCCAAACGAATTTGATATCGAGATGATAACTTTGACCCAAAATTGTACCGTAATAGTTATCCGCTTTTCCGACTTTATAGCGTTACAAGTTACGCCCCTAAGTCTGGATATTGTCCAAGAGATGTTGGATATATTTTCCTCTCCGCACTTTCAATACAATGCTACAGGTTTGTTGAGACGTTTACAGTTCAATATTTACGATTCCATGATCTCTTCCTTTCATACCTACACTCAAATACCTACCAATTATGTGTATCAAGTCGAGATTCCCGGGGTTATAAATCTTTAATTATTCAAAAAAAGAAAATAGAGGGTTTTTATTGTGTTTCTTTAGGCTGCTCAACCTTATTAAATTTTTTAGCACTTGATCATACAAATTGATTCATCTTTATAACTAAGGTCTAAGAAACCCAGAGCCCTCGAGTGCATATTGTTATAAGATGGCAAACCAAAATGTCAGACGTTTCAAATTCAATTCTTAAATATGTAGATATTTAGAACGTTTGCACAATAATTTTTTTTATCGTCTGCTTTCTATTTCTATTAATTCCGAATAACTTCCATATTTTTTAAACTAATAGATGAATTTTTTATAATTAAGCCTATGGCTTAATTTATAGTCGCTTTATGTTCAAGTGGCGCGTTATCTAACGCATCATTATTTACAAAATCGAGCCAATATAAAGGAATTTAATTTATAAATGCTTACGTTATTTCTAAAAATATTAACACTTAACCACTGTTAATGCTATGAAGAATCCGCTCCGATTTTGATAACATGAAAAGACGCAACGCTTGAACATAATGCATTCTATAAATTAAGCCTATGTCTTCGCTATTAATTAAAATGATTTTTGCAAAATTTATAAACGTAAACGATTTATACAGACGTGAGTGCCTTTTAAAATATTCGCTCATTAACATAAAGCCTTTTTTTTAAATTGCCTGCGAAGTCATAGCCTACAGGTTTAATTTATTGAACGCTATGATATGCTCTTAGCCAAAAAATGAGACCGACCTACCCATTTATATAATTTTATTTAATATATTTATATTTAAAATTATATAACAATAAGTTAATATTAATTTATCAAAATAAAAAATAAATATAGTTTAAAATTAACGCACTGCAAACCTGTCTAATCAAAGAAAAAGTTTTGATGTCACAAATCGATGATATAGAAAACTTGGCTACTTGTTGTACCTTATTCATTGTGCAAGCCCAATCTTTGAACATTAATGTTTTGCGATCATTTGAGACCCGTTATTCAACTTATAACCAACAGTCTCGATATAGACTGTCCAAAAATTACCGTAATTTTTTGCGTTATACATTTCATCTATTTCATTGATTCAATAATTATTTTAAATATTTCGCTTACCTTTATTCAGACTGCTTTCTCGATTTTAACTGACTAACATTGTTTGAAGATCATCCATTATTTGTGTTTTTAATCCGGGTTGTTACCTCACATATCCTTTCTTCCTTATAGAATTAGGATTTATTCGGATATTTTTCCGTATTTTATTTAGTATGTTTTAGAAAATTAATTTTTTATTTGTTTAAAATTATAATTAAAAGTCCGAATCACCATAAAAAGTTTGGGATTTCAAGCCAGGCGCTTCGAAAAAGAAGCCTGTGTTTCATCTCCTTTCGACGATTCCGCTAATAAGGCTATAATTTCTGAGAAAAATTCTAAGGTCGGGTTTACTTTGACTCCCATCCCCAAAACGAAAGCTCTTATAGTGCTAGAATTCGGACTGGAGTTGATAGATGCTAAATTTCGCAACGATAGTTTTATTGATCTCCTTCCAACTTCCCTAATCACAATCATAAGGGATGACATTATGGATAAAGAGGTCAAAAATGATAAAAGAAAGGACACACGCAATGATTTATTCAAGGAGAATATCAAAGATAATAATGATGTTTGTAATAACAAAAATATGAGCCGAATGGAAGTAACTTGCGGTGACGTTTGGTTTGATTTTCCAGTTTCATTTAATTTCGATCAAAGTGAGGAAACTACACCCGCTAGGTATATTATATAATTTTAAATGAAATGCCTAATAATTTTCATAAATTATGAAAAAAATGAATGACAGGGAGTTCCCCCTTTTTAAAAATTGAATAATTATATGTTTATTCTCAGCCTCACGTCAGGTTTTGACCCTTATCAATACTAAACTATCACTGGCGTTTAAAGCAGTATTTTCTCCACACTTATTAGATTTTAAGTAATCCTAAACATTTTCCAATTTGAGCCACCTTAAATATTTATTTTTTAAAATTTGGAATTTTCTTTTTGATGTGCTTAAAACAAATTTTATAAATCAAAATGGCTCTCTGATCAATTCCATATCTTTAGTGAAAAAATCATTTTTAGCTATCAAATCATATATTATGGTGATATTGCAAAGGCCAGCATATGAAAATTATTATCATTTGACACAGAAGGTTTATACCATATAATGCTTACTTTGTGCAAATTCTTAATATTTTTTTAACAAAGATATTTATATATAATATAGCAATGGCTTTAAACTTAAATGATCAATTATGATATTTTTTTTGTATTCGTCTTGTGTAAATACAACTCGGGGCAGAAAGAGTATTACAGATATTATTTTAAAAAAATTATTGATCGGACTCGAACCCTTTTTATTATAATAATAATAATATCTATCTACCAGATGTCTGAAACTCTGCATGCTGGAATATGATTTCGGTAAAAGGAGATTTTAAAAGTTAAATAACGCGCGCTATTTATAGTTTAAGTTTATGAAACATAGTCCTGAATTTGGTAATCCCCCTCCTCTCCTACGGCACGCATAATTATATATAAAAATTCTTCTCATACATACCTAGAGTGGGTTGCCATTTATATATAAATATTTCTCATTACATACATGTCTAAATTTATATTAGAGACGATTGGCATATTTTCACGATCATGTCAACATCCCTGACTTCCTGGGTGAATCCAGTTTGCAGACTTTCCAAGTTCTTGAAAATTTACGATGAAAATTATGACCTTTATAGAAGCCGTTTACTGTATCACTTATTCTCGAAGTCACAAAACACCGAATTCGAAGAATTATTTGTAAGTTTGCTTCTTTTTTTGTACCATTTTTCGAATCACCCTCCCCCCCTCCCGATACTGATACATGATACAATTCCAAATTCTCTTATCAATTCATAGCTTAATGATTGCCATTTTAAAAAATAATTTATGGGGTTGTTTATTAATATTTTCCACTTTTTCCCCCCGCTAGATATATTTTCCTTGGGATATTTTTTTTTGAGCTTTTCTATTCAGAATTATTTGTATCCCCACCTACCTCAGCCCATATTTTTTTAAAATGTTAAACTCCCCTCACCTCAAGGATTATTACCAAATGAAAAGTTTTATTACAAGTTTTTTTCTCTCACTAATTCTATCTTTTTAAAAATTAAATACCATATTTAACTATTTCAAAAATGCGAATATTTGATAATATGGACCTTACACAATTAAATAATATGAAAGCCAGGCGCATTTGAATTTCCATCCGTTTTTTCCGAACAAGCATTAACCTTAAACTCTGCATCTGTCACCTATATATTCCAGCTGTGGTACTCTGACATATATTCGCGTTCAGAAGAAGATTATTGTAAGGGATGATTTTTTTTTGAATTACTAAGTTTAAATTTTTTATTTTCCCTAACCCTACAATTTATTCATTTTCGTTTACAAAATGACAGTTAATAAAGATTTACACGAATGGCCATTCATATCCACTAAAAATACTTTCGCCTCCGATTCTAACCTTTACAAGGCGATACTTCCCGTATCTTCTCTCCTATGGTACGAACAAAATTCTCAGGTACTTTTGAAACGTTCGCGAACGTTATGCAGAAATAATTTATTCTTAAAAGAAACTCAAAGGTTTCTCCTGAACCATCTAAATTATGATATGAGCGCTCTTAATCGAGATGATCTTAATTCTGAACGAGGGCTTGATGAAGCGATTCGAATGAATAAAGATAATCACCAAACTCTTAGCGATAAATCTGACAAAGGCCACTTTATTGTTAAAGAACCTAAGAACAACGAGATCGAAGAGAGGACAATTAAAAGTAAACGCACTGCGCCGGTTATAACCAGCTCGATCGTCAAATCAAGGAGCATTGGGACAGGATCGTCGATCATATTGCACAGGTTAGCTAATACTAATATGCTAATTTTTATTATTCTAAATTTCTATTAAATATAATTATTCCTACATTATGTAAGGGAATAATTAAGACTTTTAGATCGTGTACTTAAGAGATATTATGTAGTTTATTTTAATAATTATTATATCTTTTTAGGGGGACACTATTATTTGAATGTTTGAGTTTTGAGGTAAATTAGATATTTTGGCGGTTATTATTTTTAGCGTTTCCACTATTTTCATTTATACTTGATAAGAGAGAACCACCAATGGAAATTTTTGGTGTCTTATTATAAGTGATTAATTTTTTTTATAGCCAAATTTTTATTTAATTTTTAACAATAAATATATTTTTTAATTTTTATTTAATTTTATTTTTAAAAATTGAAAATTCAGAATAAAGGAAAAAAAAATTTTTATAAGTCAAAAAAAGAATGAATTAAATAATAATAAACATAAATCTTCAACTATAAAACAATTTAAAATTATTTTTGATGAAAATGACAAAAGCTAGATTGGATTCGCTGCAATGATTGCGAATCCATCTATAAAATATAACAACAAAACTGGCACATCTTTTTTTTCTACGCTATCAATGCTCGTATGTAAATTATGTAGATTTTATATATATTGTAAAAATAAATTGATATTTCAAAAAGGAAGATTCTCAATTAAATAGAACGTTAATATCGGGGTCTTATAGCTATTTTTGTTGGATATTGTGCTAGAGACACAAAGTATTTTAATTTATATTAAATTATTCTTCAACCTTTTATTAGGCCATTCAAGTACCTGGATTTGTAAACCTTTTATATAAATGTGTGGACATACTTGCCAGTGTTGAAAAAATTATTCTACACCCCACATCAGTTATCAGACAGATAGCAAAAGTTAATGATGGTGTAAAGGAAAAATTATTTCTAAAACTTGGTAAAATGATAAAAGATTCCATTTGCTCTTGCACTACTAATATGTGGTATGAGGATTTTACCAAAACTAATTAAATATCTATCAATCCATTTGGCTTGAAATAGCCTAAAAAAGATTGAAGAATAATTTATAAATATAAATTTAAATACCTAATGTCTCTAGCACAATATTCTAATTGGCAATTATAACCGATTTATGGTTTTTGCTTGATTGAGAATTGTCTTTTTTAAATATCCGGTTATTTTTTTATTATCTATTAAATCTTCATAATTTGCAGATGAACATTGATGCCGAAGGATAAACGATGTGCCAGTTTTGTTATTATATTTATTGATGGATTCGCAATCAATGCAGTGAATCCAATCTAGCTTTTTGTCATTTTCATCAAATATGATTTTATATCGTTTCCATAATTGAAAATTTGTTTATTATTATATATAATTCATTTTCTTTTAACTTCTAAAAATTATTTTTCAATTTTTTTGTATATTTTCTTTATCCATAATATAATTTAAAATAACTAATTTATTTTTTCAATTTTTGAAAATAATAAAAATGTAAAAGGGCAAATAATAAAAAACAATAATTAATATAATAAAATACATGACATGACAATACGATGCATAAATATATATTATGATTTGCATAGCATTAATACCTAAAAAGGAAATTTTGACATTTAATTTCCAAGAAATTGATTAATATATATAAAAAAAGTATTAGTATATTACCAAAAAAAGGAAATTTTTATTTTTAATATCCAAAAAAAGTTTATTTAAAATTTTTGCTTTTTAAGGAATGAATTTTTCTTAAATGTTTACTGAAATGGAAGCGAGAAATAAAAGTTGGAAATTTTTTTAACCCGCCAGCCTACAGTATAAATTAAATACCTGCCTACCCGTTGTTTAATTGGGCGACGTGGGTAGGCTCAGTCCGTTGGAGTTCCTAGTCTGCATAACATAAAACTTGAACGAGTTCTGCATATTATTTTAAATTTTTCGAAAAAATAAATATTCAAATTATATACCACAATGGATGAATGATAAAGAAAACTTTAATGGTTTATTTTTTTCTAACCATCGATTTCATATATTATCAATATTATGATATATACTCCTTTGACTTCTCAGCACCTCACTTTTTCCCATTTCACTCTTCACGGTTCTATCTATTGTTTTCTTGATCACTCTTCCTTCTTATACTCCTTTCATTCAACTCTTTCTAGTTTGTTTTTCCTCTCTTTAACTTCTTGTTTATTTTATCTTCTCTAAGTTCGTTCATCATTACTTTAATATCTTCCCATTCCATTTGACTTCATTTTCTCCCATACCATTTCATTTCTTTTTCCTTTCTCCATTCTTTATCTCTTTCTTTTCTATCTAATTTGTGTTGGTTATAGTCTGTTTTCCTATTTATCTACCCTACTTTTTCTCCTTTTTATCTTCTATTCTTTGTGCTCGTTATTGCTCTCTTATTTTTTGCTTGGTTCTCTATCATCTCTTATTTTTAATTTTCACTCTATGTTTTTCTCGGCCTTTATATTCTCTATAATATTGTTTCCTTTTTCTTGATACCTTCTTCTCCACTGCTATATCTGTTCTTGTTTGTCTCGGTTTTTTTACTATTGTCTTTAGTCTTCCTCTTTTCTCCAATTTTCTTTTGTATTTCGTTTCGTATTTTATCTATTTTTTTCTCTTTTTGTTTTGTGTTTATAATCTCTTTAATTCTTGTTCTCTTAAATTTTGCCTTCCGTTCTCTTTTTTTAAAAAATTATCATTTATAGTTCTTCATTATTTTTTGTTTACTGTCCTTCAGATCCTTAGCCCTATCTTATCATATCATTCTTTCAACCCATTTATCCTCAAATCCAGTCTATTGATCTATTCTTTTCAATCACACCTCTTGTAGATATTTGAATATAGATCTTCAAACGATAAAATATTTGAGAAGAAATTTCATACAAACAAAACTAATAACCACCATCAACAGGTTTCTTTTTATTCTTTTAATATTTTTTTCCGCTTTTAGAATTCATTCTCATTACAAAGTAACCAAAAATACAACAAATAAACTAATCTCCTATACAAATCTCCATAAAAAAATATTTTCTTATTTCTTTATCCTTGCCAAAAATTCATGCTCAATCTTTAAAGAAGCACCGTCATTCCTCTTGTAGGATAAATTACTGCCAAACAGTGGATGCAAATTCAATCCGTTACACTTGAGATGCCCTCGGCAATGTAGTTCCCACTTTCACCCCTTGTTAATCCTTTTGTCATAACATATTCTAAAGTCTCCTTCTATTCTGTTTATTGTTCCAATCGATTATCCCTTTTTGCTTATCCTTTTATCTAATCATGCCATAAATAGAACCATGAAACGGAGTGTGACATTCAGGCATAATAAACGCCATTTTAAAAATAAATTTTATTTTTCTTTATTATAAGTATTTATATTTTTTTATCTTAAACTTATAAGTTATTTTTATTTTGAAAAAACATGCGTTTAATCTTATAGCTACAAGTTTTGGTCGCGACTCAGATTTTCTTTCCTTAAAACAATGTACTGTTTAAGATGCTTCGGCCAGCGTTCTAATAAACCCAAATACAAGCATAGACCGACCCTTTCTACCGATCAAATATTGCCAACGACTAAAAAACTCGAGTCATTTATAACTTATGGAGATGTGGGTAATTGTTATATTAATTAAAATTCTTAATAATTGGGAGAAAGATGAGATTTTTTTTATTGGACACGACATTTTTTGATTTTTTAAAAAATTTTAAACATTACAATATTTTGGGGATTTATAAATGGGGGAAAAATAACCATCAGTCAGATAGGTAAACTTATTGTGACGGGTTAATATTTTTCTTTCTTTCCTTGATTATATTAGTTTCTTTGATAATAGATTTTAGTTTTTTTTAAAAAAAATATTTTATAAAAAGTTTTATATTGTAAATGTTACAAGCAAAAAATTTGGCAATCAGTGGTATTCTTGATCACGCCCAATATATTATTTAATTTTGGCCTATAATTTGATATAGCAATGGAATCCTCTGACATATCTTCAACCTCGTTCTGATAAATCTTATTTCCTTCAAAATTTTACCTGTGTCTCCAAACCTTTCTCCAATATTTCCAAAAATTAAGAAATTATTAACTTGCATGCTTACTTTTTTAAATATTAAATTTTCGAGAACTTTCATGTATAGGCACATCGCAATTATAAATTTATTAAAAATTGGCAAAATTCATATTACAACGAGGTGATATAAGTAAAATAAAAAGTTAGAAAATATTTTATTCGGAAATTTTTACTTTCTATTATCTTAATATTTTTATAATCTAAACATTTTTATAGATTAATTTTTTATTAAGTCGCTAAATTCGAGTGAAGAAGCTTAGCAGAATGAACTTATAGTTTTTAACTATTACCTACGAAGAATTTTATTGAAAAAAAGAAGAAAGAAAGAATGTTTGTATGTATATAATGCATGGTAGAGATTATGGACCATAGTTTTACCCCTTAATGCCCTTCAGCTACTTTGGCCTGGAAGGTATGAATTTGGGCAAGGGAAATTGCAGGATGCGATATTTTTTTTATTTATTAGTATATATTTATGTGATTTCCTCTTTTTTAAAAAGACACTTGTAATTCATCATGCGCGGAGGAAAATGCAAATAACAACGATGACTTCGAATTTGGCCTCTTTCCGTCGATAACTTCTTATTTATTATCATTACAGAACTCTTCGAAAATACATCAAAACCAATTGGCGGATATTATCGCGCCCATATATCAAGAATTTTTGATTCAAAATTTGATTTTTACTCAGAATGAAAACCTTTTGGCGTTCCCTAATAATCTTCCCGACAAAGAGAGCAATGAGGAGAATCGCACCACTCCTAGATTATCTAATGATGGAGAGAAAGGTTTCAAAAATTTATTCATGTAATAATAACTTTAGAAAGCATTGACATAGGGGAAGATGGAAGGGGTAAATACACCCGCGCCCACATCGTCTTATAAACAATAAAAAAATGTAAATATATATAGGCAAATAAGTTTTTAAAACAATAATTAGCGGTTGTCCTCAATAAATCCCCCCTTCTCCGTCATGGGAAAATCCTAGCTACATTTAAAGCCCTGCATAGTGATTTTTCCACGGCTTAAAGCCGACCCGAGCCTGATTAAAAAATTTTGTGTTCGAGGAGCACAAAATTTTTGTTCCAGTCCGACCCGAGCTCGTCTAAAAAATTTTTAGAATTTTTTTACCCTATTTATCAATATCATATTTCCCATTTCCTATTTTCTTTGGTCTTAAACTTGAATTCTAATCTTTTCAGAACTTTTCAAATTTAAATCCATTCTATTAAACAATTTTAATTATATAAAAATCTGAGGCTATTTAATTAATAGATATTAGATATAACAAAAATTATCAACTGAAAAAAATATTTCATAACTGTCAGATTTTATAATTTTCTAAATGTAGAAATTAATATACATTTAATTTAACGTAGAATATGATGTATATAAGCAATTAAGTTAATCACGATGCAAATCACAATCACAGGAAATTGTTAATTTGAGAAATGGAAATTACATAAATGAATAAGTGAAATTAGATTAAAAATAACATGAGCTTCTGATTGACATTTCGTTGAAATGAAATAATTATATTTTTAATATTTAATTTTCGGGTCTCGGGTGGCTCCCTCTTGCAGCCCGTGCAGGGCTCTAGCTACCCTACACCTTCAATATTAAATAACCTATAATATGTCAAATTGAATTCAACATTATTGCGAGATAAGGGGACAGAGTTAGTCTTAAAAGACAAACGTCAATAAGATTAAAAAAACTATCATTTTTAATAAAATAAATATCCCACTTTGTTCCTCACATTTTTTTCTGAGAACAGTTGAATCATACCCGGAAAAGGATGAGACTAAGATTTTATTATTTTTGCTATTAAAGATCCTAATTCCGGGCTTGATTTCGGGATCAATCATTGATTAATCTTTATAAAATTATATACACATACGAAAAAGATATTACTATGATGAACTAAATATTTATATATATCGCATAAATTTCCGTTTTATGTCACCTCATTTCGCATTCAATTTGACATCAGTCCCTGTCGATAACTTCGAAAACTGCGCCACCCTTCCCAATATGGCACGCGCTTGTTATTGCCTCAAGCCATTGTTATCTATCGTTACCGATATCAACTACTTACCTCAAACATTGTTATTTTCGCACTCCGAGATAACGGATAAGTGTGTTTTGGAACTTGATTTAATCCTTTCTTCTCTTCGAATCAACATCATAGAATGTATTCCGGGTCTAACCACGCCCTTGGTGCCTCCAGTCGCCTTCAAAACTATACGAGTTAAGGCTAAATTTAGGGAAACTTTTGTCATACCTCGTATCATACCCTCTGAGTAATTTATTTAATTACATTTTTTTAAATATAAATAATGACATTATTTCAAAGATTTATAAGATGTGTATCGATATGTTAGCTATTAATGTTTAAAAGAGCCTATTTAAAAAAATAATCTAAAATGGAAAAATATAAATGGAGTGGTGGGTCATCTAAGGAAAGGTGGATGATGTAAGAGAAATTAGATAGATCTCTAAGGAGATTCCTTGGTCTGGTTAAAACCCTTTAATAGGATTTAAGTGTTTGAAATTAATTTTCCTGTTCCTAAATAAGCTTAGAAATATATTTTTAAACAGAATTCGAGAGTTTTGAGTTTACATTATTTAATCAATTAAAAGACAAAATGTAGGTGATTAAAACTTAATCATTTAAAACAGTTCAAAGCCTCCACCGAAAACGGGCGATAATTTAATCGATCTCACCTTTCCGCTCATTCTTTATGATTACAGTTTTCAAAAGCGCTATTTTGAAAGGAGTTCCACGCAAATAATCTCTGACGTAGCCTCATTTTCGCATCACGTTAATACTTCTACGCTTAAACTCATATACCAAGTAAATTAATATAACAATATTAGTTCGCTAGAAAATAATTATAAGATTATATGTTAGCGGCAATGTGTTATTTTTTCAAGTTTGAATCATTTTTTGAGCGCCTTTTTCAAAATTTAAGAATTTAATTTTACCAGAAATGTATTCCATCATGTTTGGAATATCTAGCCTATGAATTTCAGACAATTTTATCATCAACTTAATTTAATATATACTCGTTTTAGATTATATAAATTTTGATTGACTCAAAGATTAGCGTTGCCTACAATTTATAGCATAGGTCCAAATCTGCTTAAATGTATTTCCAAAATCAGATTTTCAATAATTAAAAACCCGCTCAAAAAATGTTTTAAGTTGAAAAAATAACACCGCTAACATATATATATTTGAAAAGTTCAGTTAATATTTTTTTTAAAAAAAGGAGTCACTTAATTATTCTCAGTTAATTGACGCTTTAGAATTAGTTTTTTATTCACGGTGATTCATTTTTAGGGATTTGTCGCGAAATTTTAAATAAGTCATCGGCTCAGTATTATAATGTTCTATATCCACTTTTTTTTGCAGTATACATTTTTCTCGGTAAATCAATCTCTTCAGTCTGGTATCCTTCCACATCTTTAATAAAAATGTTAAAATGTAAAATAGAATATAATTCTTTATTTGCATTATTTATGCTGGTATTTTACCCTGAAAAATTATTTAATAAAAATGGATATAGACGACCACAACACTCAGCCGACGAAAATATAATTGGTGATAAATAAACTGTTGGCATTAATGTTTTATTTTATTAATTATGATTACATTTTAAAAGTTATCATTTGCTTTCCACCACAATATTTTAATGTACACAACTTATCTTTTTTTTAAAAATTACATTGTCCTTTTTCTTAGACTCATTTAATTGGTATTGAAAAATGATGCTATATTTTTTTTTAGGTCACCACATTTATAATAAAAATATTCCTTTTTTTGTAAATCATTGTATTGTTACTTATTAACCTTAAAAATTTATATGATCCGCCAATACATTGTATTTTGAAGGTCGGTTTTTATTTCTTTTTATGATGCTATTTTATTTCGGTTCTGTTCTTTCATTTATCTAAATGTATTTATAGTTTTTTTACATAAGCTCTTAATAGTGAGAAATCTTAATCTTATAGAATTCTACGTTTTCTCCTACAATTTTAATCCTAATAATTGTTCAAATATGGATGTCATTTTTGCCATCTTTACAAAAACTATTATAAATATTATATATTATCATTACTGTAAAAAAAAATTTTGTTTGTTATATGATTAAATTTAAGGCTAACTTAATTAAGGATTAAAAAATCAGTATTAAAAAATATATATTATGTGAGATATAATAACAGTTTAAAATAGTCGTTTTATAGATATAACCTTCAGTATTTACGTTTTATTTTTGAAATACAAATGATAGTCTATTTAGAATGATTAATAATTATATCCGTTACAATACAGGTAGATTTTATATTTTGATAACAAAACTTTGACTTTTTTTATATAATGATAATGCCACCTTCTGCCTCTATATGCCGTTGTATTTACCTAAATTTATATATATTTTTTAAAAAAATTAGATTATTTGGGTTGCTAAAAAATTTTACGGCTTCAAAGCCGAAATTCCTCACGATCCTCCTTCATTTTTGGTGGGAAAAAAATTTGGAAAAATTGTGCGCAATCCATCTCTAACTAGTTCATCCGATTCCGAGATTTATGAAAGAAAATCTATATCCTCATATGGAGATAGTAAAAAAAAAATATTTTATTTGATATATATTTTATTTTGAATCTTTTTTTTATTTCTGGAAACTAGCTTATTTGCATAGAATATGATTTTTTAGATTAAAATAATAAGAATAAATCACCTATTACCTAATTTTGAAGATACTCTTGTATGAATGTATAAATTGAATAGCGAAAAGGGTTTCCTAGCTGGCTTTTCCGAATAAACGCCACATTTTATTCAGGAGATCAGCTAAAACACCCTTTTTTATTCCTTTTTTTTGATACATAAATTTTGGAATTATTTTTTATCATATTCTATATAGCTATCTATTTAAAATAAAAAGAAATAAAATAAAAGAACAAACCAGGACGCAGCATTAGAGTTGGAAATAAAATAAATACTTTTTACGAAATTTACCATTATTCACAATATAATATATTTAATTACTTTTATGCTTAGACCATTCTCTTCGTTCTTCCATAGCGTCTTCGCACTTTAAAACAGAGCCCGGTACGGCTCTGGACGAAGCGATTAAGCTTTACCGAATGGTTACTCTTATAAGCTCGCCAAATACTTTTCTAACGACACGATCATCAAGTTAACCACAAAATAATTTAATTCTGTTAAAAATTTTCTTTTTCCTTTTTTTTGGATTAAATATTTTCTTCCTTTTTTTGAACGGAAAATCCATTTAATTATGGACTTTATATATTTTTTTTCGCTTTCCAAAAATATTACCTAATATAACAAATTTTTTTTAAAAAAAAATAATCAAATATTTAGATAAACAGGAAACTTCTTCCTATCCAATACTATCCTATATATCCTTATCAAAAATGCTGGAACGAAATTTGGGCAAAGAAATGATAAAATATAAGCCATTACCGCAGACCGAGAATACGGATCAAGACACCAATCCTCTCGTACACTTAAATTGGCGTAATAATTTATATTAATTATTATTTTTTTTGATCGATTAATACAATCTTTAATCAATGTTAATTTTGAGATTTTAACTAGAGAGTACAGTAAACAGTGAGGAGAATTGAAGGTTAAATGGAATTGCGAACATCTTTCCCAACTACTAAGAATTTCTTTACTTTTTTTTTCTTCCTTCAAATAATTTAGAAATATGACAATTTTTCACACGAATATTTTATACATTAGGTTCTTTAGATTCTATATTCGAGTTCGTTGGTCACATATCCTACATTCGTCTCTGGTTAGGCGTAGAAGGCTTAAACCTACAATTGGAACTTTTGAATTTTCTGATTAATTGCAATTCAGCCTCCGAACTCGCTTGGAAGAAACCTCTCAATTACCCCCTGAAAGGTTTTAATTATAATATTTTGTTAAAAAAAGAGCCATTTTTTTTATAAAATATATGACTAAGTATTTAGAACCCTTGCATTGGACCTAATTTTTGTCCTACCAATTCAATCCGACATTTTTCTAAGGATTCCCCCGAACTATTTTTTCACAGGTTCGATTCGATAGATAGACATGTTAAAATTCATTAAACAAAATTAGTATAAATTTATGCCAAGGCCTGGCCCGTGTGCACCCTCTTCCAAGGTGGGTCCGAACTAAAATTTAAAACTCGATCATGCCGGATCTGATCAGATGCAGGGTTTTGCTAACGAAATGTATTTTTTTACCATAATTTTGTAACAAACTTTTAAATAATTGTTTGACCATCAATTAATAGGCAAATCGTATAATTTTGTCAAATCCCTATTCGGTAATTTGCCCCAAATGAGTATCACATTAATGGAGAGTTATTCACAGCTATCCAACGTCTTACTCAACTTAAACATGTCCGAAACATCTTTATTTTGGAATATTTTAAACGACGAAAACGGGCATCATTCAAACGATCTAAGTTTACATTTAAAATTTCACATTCAAAGTTATTTAAACAATTCCATATCTAAATTTAATATTTTTTTTCCCAAAAATTTATAAATATATATATTTTTTTTTAGTTCAAAATACTAGTAATCTCTTAATTTTCGTTCTTAATTCTAAATATAATATTCTAGGCAGAAATACCGCTAGGACATCCCTTTTTTGATCTTTTTGAATAAAAGTTAGGATACATCTTTAAAATACACTTAAGAGCGTACTTATTCTCTATTTAATTTTAGTTTAAAAAACATATTCTATTCACACAGCTATTTAGAAATTTTTTTAAAAAAAGACGGGACGCTCCCTTAAGACGTAGGCTTCGTTTATAGCAAGCCAAGAATACCGCGATATCGCTCAAGTGATGCGCGAATTACAAAATATGTTAAATTATAATTGTTAATTGCGCATCGCATCAGCGATATCTCGCTTACTATAAATTAAATAAAAATAAGGAATATAATTGTAAATATGGTGATATTAATATATTTTATATAAAATACATTATGTATTAATGTTAATATTCTCTCCCTTTTTAAAAATTAAGTTTGTTTTTTTTTTGTTTATGGGGCAAAAATTTATTTGGAAAGTACACGACACCTTATATTCTTCTCATCCTATTGGTTAATGGTACTGAATATATTTTTATAATAAAATATTTTGAATTTATTTATTTTTATATTATAACGCCTTTTAGTTCCCCTATTAACCAAAACCCTCAACTCGATATTGTTGCAAATTGGGGCTATAAAATTCGAAATTCCCCAACATCCTATAGTTCTTCACCAAATCTTTACAAGGTTCACCAAAAAATTTAGCGAAACGTTACATCAATTCGCCTACTATTTCGGGAGAAACGCCCAAGTTACTAATGGTCTAGATAGCCCTTCCTTGCCCGATCCAATGAATTTGTTGAAATCGATTTCTTATAGAGATAATAACAGGTCTGATTTGGTTTTCAAAACCGGCAAATAATTTACACTTGCCAGTTCTGACAGCAAAAATATTTATTATCTGTATTCATAAACGTTTTAATGCTGGCAGAATTTTGTTTAAAAATAAAATAAAATAGGGCCAAACAAATTGACCAAATATATATTTTTTAAATTTTTTATCTCTATATCCACGAAATCCTATTCGAATAATTTTAACGAATACTATTAGAAAGAAATTTAAAAAAATGAGAATTTACTAAAATCATTTGAACTATCGCATTTTTTTATTTGATTAAAAAAAATGGAACTTTAAACTGAATTTTCCTTTTTGGGCCATTCCACGTCAAATCGATCACGATTCGGCCGACCTCTTTTAAAATTGTTAAAAATTTCTGGAATTATCTAGATAGGTAAAAGAGTGAGAAAGCCGTTTAATTAGCTCGCTAGCACACCTGGTTATCGAGATATAGGGGCTCAAAGATAAAAAAAAGAGTCACTTTGGAATCTGTAAAATTTTTAAAATGCTTATATCTCAAAAACCATCATTTTGTAGGTAAAGAAATTATCTAATGGGCTAACAAAGAATAATAAATATTGGCGCCATTATAGGCTTTTAACATCCGGTTTACCTAAATTGCTTTACCTGTATTTTTAAGCAAAATAGTGAGTTTGTTTTCGAATTGTTTTTATTGTTTTTTATTTAGACACCTTTGCTAAATATATATACAATATCAAAACCTTGACGACGCTATCGACTCCAAAAATTGATGAAAAAATAGATGGCGCTTTATGAAATTACGGATTATGGTTAAAATTTTGTTGCTAACTTATCAATAACCAGATATTTCTTTTTATACTAAAAAATTTTGATTTTCTTTTAAATATACTAATTAACTGAGGAGCAGAGTGGGCATATGCCCATTCGACACTTAATAATGTAACAAATTTCCAATAATAAATATCTTTCATATAATTTTTAAGGTATATACAATATCATCGAATTTTTCATCATTTGATGAAGTTAATGGTATAATTTTAGTCGTTAAAACTTTTTTTTACTCTAGATATTTTTTTCTTCGAATATTTCTTTTCACATAAGCGTTTTCTTTTAATGAGAGATTCCCCATTTGATTGTAGGGATATATTAATGTTATCAATAGCCTCTTGATTAATTATATGAAGGAGAGAATCAATATATACATTGTCATTTGAAGTATAAGGAATGTTTGCTAATTTTTGTCGCCATGAAGAGCATATTAACATATCTAAATTGAATGGTAAATTTTTTTGGGTCATTTAGGTTAGAATCTTTATTAGAATCTCGCGATAATAAGCATGTCTCTGTAGATTAAATGGGTTGCAACATTTTAATATTTGGTACGTCCATCTGTGATATAGAATAAAATTTTAATTGATCTACACCTAGAATACATGTTTTTGCACTCTCCAAATCCAGATTGTTATTGGTAGACAGACGATAAAATTAATTTGAACGGACAGGTTAAAATTATTTTACATAAAGAGAGATCATTTTAAAAAAATTATTTTGTAAAATATAATCGAATATATGCCTAATTAAATATTCGTTTTTACTGCAGCTGTTATATATTAGCGAGTTAATAAGTCATTCGCTCGCTATAGTAGCAAAGTAGAGATCTAAAAAATGTATAACATTTTAAGGATAGTGGGAGGGGGGGGGCAGAACTGGAAAATTTTATCACAATTCTTATAAACGTATCAATATTTTCATTTTCCTTAAGAATAATATTTTTCAACCATTAGCGCCATCTAATGTCTATTTCGGAAAAGTCGATAGCGTCGCCAAGGTTTTGACATCGTATATATATTTATAAAAGGTGTCTAAATAAAAAGTAAATAAAAAAATTCTAAAACAAACTCACTATTTTGCTAAAAACAGGTAAAGCAATTTATGTAAACCGGATGTTAAAAACCTATAATGGCGCCAATAGTTATTATTCTTTGTTAGCCCATTAGAGAATTTTTTTTACCTACAAAATGATATATTATAATTTATTTTACTATAAATAGTTTTTGAGATATAAGCATTTTAAAAATTTTACAGATTCCAAAATGGCTCTTTTTTGTACCTTTGAGCCCCTATATCTCGAGAACCAGGTGTCCTAGCGAGCTAAAATAAACCACTTTCTCATTCTTTTACCTATCTAAATAATTCCATAAATTTTTAACAATTTTAAAAGGGGTCGGCCGAAAAAGTGCCTTTTTTGATCGATTTGACATGGAATGGCCCTTTTTTTAAAAAAAGAATGATATAGATAGTTCACTTCAACACTCAAGATTGGTTTATTGTGTCTTTTATATATTATTTGAATTTTTTATTTGCATTTAAAAATATTATAGAATATTAGATTTATTCATCCTACTAAAATTATATAATTTTTTTTAAAACTAATTATAGAAAGCCCATTTTTTAATATTAATAATATTTAAAAGAGGCGAAAATAAACTATTAAAATTTAAAATATGTACAATAAATATATATTATTTGAGGAAAAACTGAATATCAACCATGACCGTCTGCTCAAATAGGGGTAAATATCTCAGGCCAGGTTTTTTAAAATAAAATAATTAGACCCTGCTCGGTTAGTAATTTTTTAGAATAAAACTATTTTTTAAAATTTTTAGTGGGCCCATAAGAGTCTCCCTTACTGATTTTGTTTGCAAAGGTCTATTGTTACACTTTATAAAAAAAAATTTTTAACCATCTAATTTATTTTATTTTTTTAGAATTTCTATCGTTGAGGAGAAAAGTTTGTTAAGCCATGATGAAGATAGTTCTATGTTTATCGAGGACACTTATTTAGTTAATGAAGATGATGTATCTTGGAACTATATTTATCCCCCTTATGGCGATGACTATATTTTAAAGTATACTTTGCAAAACTCTTATTTATTTTTTTTAACTTACAAAAAACTTTTGCAAGTTTTACAAATCTTGTAGAGAGGAATAGCTCATAATTTTTTATGAATATGATAAAATATCTGATTTCTAATTTTCTAATGGGTTAAATAAATATTTCATGAAAATGTAATTCATTTTACTAATTATTTTTGTTATATTTATGTTGGCGAAATTTAGAGAGATAAATAAATTATTTAGAATCAGAGACAGAGCCCAGTGTTAGCTACAATGATTTATTTTAATGTGGGTCTGACAATTAACGAATTTCAGACCAATTGCTAAATCTATCATAAACTTATTCGATTATCTCATCTTTTTTTTGTTTGAATATTTATTTATTATAAATAGCATATCTTGGAGGAGGATTGATTTTGAAGCCGCTCTTCTCCCATCCCTTAAAGCTCTATATAATATAAACGATATTCTTCTTTACGGCTGGAAAGATGTAAGGATGAAAGGATGTTTATCCTTTTCCGATCATTCCCTTATTTTGCGCTCATTGGTAAATATATTTATATATATATAAATTTAAAAATAATTTATCTTATTTTGTCATTTTATTTTCTCCTTCCAAATATAGATTTTAGATCCTTTACTAAAATTATCCCCGGAAACTTTGATAAAATTACCTAAAGTTGCCATGAAAGTTGATTACGAATGGCATTTGATTCCTTTATTCAAAAGGTTACGGTACCCAACCATCAAGGCTAAATGCATCAAGGCTTTTGTAAAGGCTGATCTGGAGATTGGTTATTTTGAGCGCTCCCTTACGACCGATCTGTTAAACAATTTGGTCTTCATTCAGAAAGTTTTTATGAAGGTATATACTTTTAAATGATTACTTATATAGACGTTAGAGGTAAGACTCAGAATTTTGGGGACAGGTCAGACAATTTGTATAAAATTATTCTGTTTGCCACCGCAGGCCGATTAAACTTTTCAAAGATGTCCACGGGTGACCGACCTTCTAATAGACATTTTATGGGGTTTTTCCTTGAATGATTTTTTAATATCATACAAGGTTGCCTGATTTTTTCAAACAAAAATCGAGAGTATTTAACCATAATTCTAAAAATTATTTCAATCAATTTTTACATTGAGAATATGCACACAAAATATTGTAAAAATCAATATATAAAATAAATCATACATATTTTTTTTACATTATTAATTAAATTTAGATTCAATACTCTTGTTTTTTTTAAATTTGAAACTATTGTTTCTTTATTAATAGCGCAGAATAATTGGGGATGTTTTTGAAATTTCAGTTATTTGAAACATCCTTTACTAAAGAAAATAGATGATTTTCCTTCGAAACTACTAAAATATGTCTCTTATTAGGGCCCGTGATATTTAAAACTATTTTTGAGGCTTTTGTTCTCCTATATTTTATATTTTTGGCTATTTTTGAAGAGAATAGGCAATAAGTTTGCAATGCAATCTGTAGATAAATAACTAGGCGATTGTCGTTTTTGATATTGAGTATAGAATATTATCACCACATAAATTATTGTTTTAAGTATTCCATATTTTTAAAATTGAATATATATGCTTGCCTTGTTGAATGTTTTTCACGTCATGGACTTGCTTGATATTAAATTTTATATTGTATATACAAATTGAATTTCAGCTATTTTGTTTATCTTCTTTAATCACGAATAATGGAATTTTAGGTATTGTGTTTAAAGTTATTTGATGTTGAACTTAATTATATATAATTAAATTAATGGAATAATAATAGAAATGAAGAGAAGAGAAATATTAAAATTAAAAGAATTTTATTTTAACTAATCAATATTGACTGTATAAAGCTGTAAATTTTTTTAAAAATAATACTAAAATATGCAGATTATTTTTCAACTTCTAATATCATCATATATAGAGTGAATTTTGAATTTAAAATATATTTATTTTACATTAACGAGAATCATTTTCAGAATTGGAGATTTATTATAATATTTCCTTTAAAAATGTAAAGAAATTAAATGTTTTGTTCCTTCTTTTCTAAAAATGAAAAGAAGAAAAAAATAACCATAAACAAGATGCCTTTTTTAATGTATGATTTAAAAAAGATATTAAATAAAATGACGAGCTTTAATATTCTGGTTTGACTAATTTTAAGAATTCAATATTTTAAATTTCTATTTAAAAAACTCTAGAAAACGTATATACATATATTTTATAGAAAATCGGAAGAAAGCTTAAATTAATGAATAGTGGATTTTTTTGAAATAAGCGTAAAAAATCAGGAGTTCTGATGCATTGTAGGTAATTTTTTAAATATGCTTGTTTTAAAAATACGTAGGAACTCAACGAGTTATTGCAAAGACTCACTGGCATAGATCAACCTCAAATACCTAAGTTTAAAGATGGTAAACGTGATTCATTTTCCTCGAGCGAAGAAATAGTCTCTCAAGCTAACGATATCCATTCTTATCTATACGAAATAAACCTAAAACTGCAAGTTAGATTTAAAATAATTTTTGATATACTTTTTTAAATAAGATAGATAATTAAATCAATTCTCAAACTCATTTATGCACCTAAGAAGTTTTTTATTTTTAACTACGAAAGGGCTTACAATTGACCGCATCTACGCCGACAAATATCGCTTTACGCCTCGAAACTAGTGCTATTGACTTCAAGCTATTCAACCAGCTTATGCCGTCGAAATCATCTTGCCTTCAAAAATCGTTCTCAGGAGTTTCAAAAAAACGTTTTTCCGTCAGCACCGGACATTCGGAAGCTGACAACGCATCAACTTTAATGGACGAGATAAAGATGGGTCGAATTAAATCAAAAGTGAGAAGAAGAAGTTCTAAGGCCTATAAAAAACAGGGGAAGGGAGGTGGTATAGATGAAGAGTTCGAGTTGAAGACTTTGGCTATACTCAAGGTTCGAAAAAAAAATACTCTTGCATTATATGTCAATCATCAAACCCGATTTTAGCCATTTTTAAATAGATCATTCTATTATTATCCTTCTTTATCACTAACAATTTGTTGATTGATTTGATAAAGTTTTTTACACATATATATATATATTATTTATTTTATTGATCTATTTTTAAAAAAATTTTTGATTGATTAATGCCAGGTATCGGTTTTTATCAATTTATGGAATCGGCCTCAAAATTTTTTATTCTTATAATCTACCATCTAATAGTTAAATTGCATTATTATAATTTATTTAGTTTAAGATATCAGCATCCCTGGGGCAAATGAATAAAAATTTATTGTACGAAGAAGCTGACGTTGACTATACAACCTTGGCTCATTTCAACACTTCTATTTCCATGAAAAATACTCCTAGGGTTATGATCTTAATTTTTTTTAATATTTAAATAAATAAATTTACCTTATACTTTTTGGCCAATTCAATGACATATAACCACTTTTAACTTTGTTGGACAATTTATTCATTAAAATGTATTTTAAAGTTTCGTTTACTATAAATGAACTGGTGACACATTATTTTTGGTTTCCCATATAATTTATTTTTCATTATAAATGATACTGATCTTTTTAATTAATATAAATTGTTTATATGGGAAAATCAAAATGGCGTGCCAACATCTGATTTGTATTGATACACATTTAAATGAATGAATCATTAGTCTAAGTATTACTATATGTCATTGGGGCAATCACATCATTTTATTAAACATTTAATGACATCCTCCCCAACCTTTATTAGCCTTCCTTAAATAGTCGATTTAGCAACGATCCCTGTAAGCTAAAAAGCCACGATGATTACAACAACGACCCAAAGAATAGTGAAAATTTGAATAGTAGCCAAAAACTAGAAGAAAAATTAAAAGAGGAAGGTTCGTCAGAGATTATAATGGTAGGTGTTCAAAGGCCCCACCTGAACGTTCAAGCCCTGGCGCTCGATAAGGCGATATTAATATACATCAATTATAAAACGGCTTACGAGTATTGGAACGAGCAAAGAGCCGCGCTTAAAAGGGACGTTCAATTGGCGACACAACAGGTTATAGTTTTAAAAATATTCTATTTGGATGTTGGTTTTTAGAAAATTCCACCAATATGTTAAAAAAATGATAAAATCGACAATGATTTTAATGGTGGTTAAATTTTTTTTAATATTAAATAAGATAATAATTATCTCAAATATTTTTTTTTTAAATGGTACTTAATGTTATCAATAAAATAAATATATACCTTAAGCGTTTATATGAGATCCGTGCAGAAACAGATCCAATCCCAGAAAAAAAAATTTTAAAAATTATTTTTTGAATTGGACGGGCATTATTATACTAACCTTTTTAGACCGGACCAGTTCCTCGGATCTAGTTTGCATATTTTTTCTAATAAAAAAAATGATACGTGTCTTTAGGTAGTGGAAAAATTAACTACCCCCCTTCCACAGCAAACCCCCAAGGCTTTGTCTCAGTTGTTCCTTCAACTCACTATCGAAAACTTGGGAATCAGTTTGCCTCTCCAAAGACCTCCTCAAGTTTGCCTCTCTTTGATGGGAAATAAATATAGTATTTTTAAAATGGATTTCTATAATTAGTAAGATTCTAAAAATATCGTTCATCGATACCTACGATTTCAAATAAAGTTATTTATATTTGACTTGACCTGGAACCATTTTTGAAAAATCATAATAGCATATTACTAGTGCTGTAAACGTTAAAACGTGTTACTCGTTACCTTTGAAATAAAAAGGAACCGTTGCTATTATTAGCTACTTTGTGAAAAAGTAATGCGTAACTCGCTATCCAAAAAATATAAACTACTCGTTACATTTAAAAAATACCTAATATATGAAAATTTTCTTTTTATTTATTTTTTTCCCCCATAGATAATGAAAATAATATACAAAAATAAGATAAGATTAGCTCATTTAATAATTTTTTATTTATTTTTAACAATTGATTTTTAAAAATTTTAATATAAACAAGAACGCTTAAGCTAAACATAGTCACTGCTAAACATACGTTCAACTGGAACCTTCGAATAGGAGGGTTGGATTATATTTAATAAATAAAACTTTTATTTGGTGGAATTTATGAAAAATATTTAAGTGATCTTTATTTTTAAAATCTTATTGGATCATCTTTACAACTATCTAGATTTCAGAATCAAAAATCTTTATCGAAATCATTTGTTTTTTTTAGATTTGAGCTATTGGTCGAAATTAAAATATTAAAATTATGGCACAATTTGCAATTATAAAGTGTAAACCTCTTGCCCATAATTTCATATTAGTGTAAAAAAATGTTTCATGCTGTGACAGGGCGAATTTAATCAGCTTCCTGAAAAATAAGTACTGTTGACATATATTCTTAATAAAATAATTATATAAAGAATATAAATTAATGTTGGTCGCAAATTGGAGTGCTCCACTTCTAAAATTGTTAATACTGGGGAAAATTATAAATTTAGATTCAAATATATAAAAAAATTTAAAAAAAATTTGTGATAATTTTATTTGATAAAATCTAAATGCAAATGGAGCAAAATAATCATTTTGGGAATTTTTTTTAAAATAGCTCTATTTTAATTTTATATATCGAGATTTATTAAATAAAAGCAAAATAAACAGGCAAATACTATAAATCATCAAATTATATAATATAGATACACAATATTTATTTAGTTTTAATTTATTGATAGAAATAATAATTTAACTTTATAAAAAATTATACCAATATTTAGCAGATAATTTTTCCCATACATATTTTATCTTAATTTTTTTATAGAATTTAAAAAACACAACGGGTAATTATAAAATACACATTATATCATAGATTATGAACAATAATTACGAAACAAGTCAAGATTGACAGTGTTGCCAAAGATTAAAAATTTTAAATCTAGTTTTTATTTATATATTTAGTTAAAATTTATCAATTGAAATTCACTCCTAACTCAAAAATCTTAAAAATGTCAGGTGGAGCGCTTTAATTCTAGACAGACGATACCTTGATTGTTTTAATATTAGTTAGATTTTAACAAGACTGTATAAAATTCAACAACAAAAATGTAATAAATAAAAATAAATAACTTTGACGGTTTATCTTAACTAAAAACTCGGCTTAAATTATTTATAAAATAAAAAAAACATATAAAATATAAAGTAACATTCTCCGTAACTGTTACTCAAAAAAATAAACCATTACTCTTTACTATTGGAAATAAGTAACGAATGATCTTTCTTTTCCTCAATAGATACGCCGTTTGTAACGATGTTACTTTACAGTACTACATATTACCTTGTTAAGGACCATTTCAAACAAGGGCATAAATTTGAAACGAAATTTAACGAAAAATGCTATATAATATAAGGCCACAGGATTATATATTTAAGAGTACAGAAAGTGAGAAACATTTTTTTCCCTTCTCATTTTTAAAAACAATATGTCTTTATCAAAAGCATCATTTAGTTAACAACCCACTTCTCTTACCTAGACACCATCTTGTGGAAACCACATCTAAAGGTTCAGAATATGACGAGAAAAGAAAGCTGCAAGAAGATTCTGATCAAAGTGCCAGATTTTCCATTGAGGATAACAAGGTTTACCTTGTTTTAACCATCGAAAACTCACAAATATTTGCCTATTCCAAAGAGCTGTTTGTCTGCAAAGGCATATTTTCTCACCTCATTACTAGGTTACTTTTTATAAAAATTTCTAACATGATTGCCTTGGCTATAGGTTTTTGAAATACGATCTTTTAATTTCCCTTGTATTTTTTTTCTTCTTCAAATATTAGAAAATATTAGCATTTTGTTTATCGCTTTTTTTTATCCAACAGATTCTCCTTCGATTTTGATCCTTCTTGGGACGACTGGAGCCCTAACAATTACGATTATTACGCTAATATTTACAATAATTTTTTCCGTCAGGATATACCGACCGAGAATTATGATAATAATAACACCAAGATACGAATCTTACCAAGGAGACCTAAGTCTCCTTCCAACCCTTTGGATGCTGGTTCCCTGCCTAATAATGCTATAGATAGTTTGGTATGCAATTCTTGCTATGTTAAAGAAGGAACTTACGAAGTCTGCTCCAACACTTTTTCGAGTACATAAATTAATATATACTATATATATTTTAAAATAATAAACTCCTTTTGTGATAGTGTATTGGCTAAAAATCGGCTAATTCTGATTAATCTATAAAACGGCTAAAAAATAGAGCGTACCTAACTATAGTTAAGAGAAATAATGCCTTTTTTTGGATTTTGACCTTTTGTTTTAATAAGTATATAAGAACACCCATGAACAATTTTTAAAAGAAAAATAAAATCATAATTAATATTTATGCACCATTTTTCTTTAGTCAGGCAATGCTTTTTTAATATTTTGTATCTTGTAAATAACTTTTCAAACTTAATTTCAGTAAAAAAAATTATAAAAGTAAAATTTAATATTAATTTAAATAAATTATAATATTAATGAAAATAACTAACAATTATAATATTGATCTTATATAAAATATATCGCGAATTCTACTTATGACCTTTTATAAAATATATCGCAATTTATACGAACTTATTTCATTTTTTTTTATATTCAAATTTATAATATAAACTTAAAATTTTAGATGTTTTCAAGATAATGTTAAATTCATCTTTTTGTCTTAATTAGAATTTAGTAGTTTTCCCTAAGCATGCATGCCACTGTGTGTTCCATCATATTTTTATAGAAATAAATCACTGACATATTTAATCTGATTATAGCATTATTAATATATCCATTTATATCAATGTTATATAAAAATTTAATCAAGCTAAAACTAAGAACCCTAAATGGGTGCTACACATTAACTGGAATATGAAAGGTGTCGATTTCTTGGCAAACACATACATTGGAATATGTTTGAAAAATTTGATTTATACTCTAACTATATTGACCAAAGAAGAATTAAAAGGTATTTTTTTTAATTAAGATCCTTAATTTTATATATTTCGCCAATTCCATGATATGATACAAATATAAATATATGTAACTATATCTTTAATGCGAAAATATTTGTTTTATTATATATATAATAATAAAAAGATCAGAATATATGACGTTAATTTGTAAAATAAAATTTTTTTAAATATATACTCCAAAAGATTATTTTATTTTTATGGAATTCTTCTAGGTTGGGCTGATCGGTTTGAATTCCCATGTTTTATAAGACATTTTTTGTTTTTAAACCTAGTTTTTAACTATATAATCAAAGACTGATCGATTTGAATTCCCATGTTTTATAAGACATTTTTTGTTCTTTAAACCGAGTTTTTAACTATATTATCAAAATAAATTTATTTAAAAAAAATAAAAAGGTGATGAGGTTCTAAATGAGAGCCCCAACGAAATTGTCGATCAAGAATATAGCACTGCTACTACTCCTGTTGATAAGCGTCGGGCTACAATGATTACCACAGACAAAAGCCAAAATACGTTATTAAGCAGCTCCGCGTACAAATACTCCGGGAAAAGGCTCTCTTCAGCCCTCACAAGCGATACAAAAAGGATTAAAAGTGTTCACCACCCTGTTAAGTTTTCCGATGATATTAAAGTGGATCATTTTCTTGATGATGATGATTATGGGAATGAGAAACAAAGAGAAGACAAATACTTTTTCAAGCCAAAATATCAGGTAGGCTTGCCCACGTCTTTTTTGGAGGAGTATCATGGATTGGCTAGATCTTTGCATTTTCTCAAGTGCGTTCCCTTGAGCAAAAGCTTACTCGGCACGCTCATATGTTTTATCGATAACTATTTTAAGAAAAATACTTTCTGGAACTTGATTTCACGTTTCCTTTAATTATATAATATTAAAATATGTATTTTAATGCTGTTTTCTTTGAATCTTTTCCTTATAGCTAGTTTTGTTAAGGGTTAATAGTTATTTTTTGCAACCTTCATTTATACTCACCATAAACAATTATTACAAATATATGCCATGCTTATATATATATATATCATATAAAATAAAGGCAATCCGGTGCCAGTCCAGATCAGATAAAAAAGGAAACGGAAAAACTACTTAACATGGAAGCTCAAGTGGCCGTAGATTATAGGCAAGATATGTTCAAACGACTCCACAAACAAAGCATTAAAGTTTAATTATACTTATTTTTGACGTATAGTATCAAGTATCGTAGAAAGAATATATCACTTTTGACGTATAGTAACAAGTATCGTAGAAGGAATATATAATTTATTTTATTTCAAAACCTTTATTTTTCCTCATAAAAAAAAGAATATCATCTCTTTTATAAAACAAAAAAAAAATGAATTATATAATTATTATTTTTTTTACATCTAATAATCAATAATTTTTTCTCCAATCAGATGTATACAATCCATCTGATTGACGTTTAATGCGAATATATGTTTTATAACATAGGACACTTATAATCATAATATGGAAACATTTTAATTATATCTATTAATCATCTGGAGAAATAAAAAAAAATGTAATTATTTAATTAAATTATCACGCACCAATCTAGGCCGTTCTTATAAAACAACCATTATTGGGGGAATACGATTCTAATAACAGGCCTCAAAGCTTATTTTCTTCGAAAAAGTATATATTTTTGCCAATTTAAAGATTAATATTAACTATAATACATTATTTTACCGTGTACAATATATAAGAATCTTGTATAATATAATAATAAAAAAAAGCCACCAAAGGCAAAATTCGTTGGCGATCGGTAAACAGCAAAGCGAAGCTAATAAAGGAGCTCTCAGTGTGAAGCATCACGTTAAAAGCAGTTCCTTTGGGGGCGAAACCCATAAAGATAATTTTGATAAAAAGTTTGTTTAATCGTCTAAACACATTCCTTTCATTTTTCATATATGTTAATATTTTATAATATTTATGTATGATAGTGTTGTCAACATTTTTGACTCGAGGAAGCAAAGCGCACCCCTATCCCCTGTCAAAGATGGGATTCAGTCTCACACATATCGCGATAACATTATTGATAAGAAAAACGATGAAACAGCGCAGTTTGGAAAATTTTATTAAAATATTCCAGTCAATTTTTTATTAAATATTTATTGCGTTTTTTGGTGGATTATAATAATATTTAAAGTAATACAAGTTTAAATATTCATTTTATTCTTTAATTAAGTGCTTTTAACAAGTCAAGATTAAGCGAAGATAAAAGTAACTTATTTTTTTTCAATATTCTTTAGAATTGATAAAGATGACGATGTTGTTATGCGGAAGAAAAGGGGACTCGATAAACATAGATTGAGACCTAAAAGTTTAAAAAAAAATAAACTTTTTAATCATTTTAAAATCTGGTAATTTAAAATCTTGCTATTTCTGCGAATTGATTTAGTTATGTACTACCATTCTATCCCGTTTATTTTAGCTTATTCATTACCTCATTATATTTTATTTTTTATTCACTTCGAATAATACATTAGTTTTAGCGATTTTTCTATTTTTTAAATTTTTTTAAGACATATAATTAATTTTAAATAAAAAGATTTTTCTATTTGTGTTTAGCTATTGTAGAGAAGATGACTTCAACTTAAGTATTAAAAATCATTTTGTACCTCCTCCTTTCCTCCCATTTTTTTATCACCCTTATCTCAGTCACCATTCTTTTAAGCTTTATATTATATTATTCATGTTTGCCTCACTTACATATTATTCTTATTTAAAATAAACTTCCCATTTTATAACACGACCAAATATTTTTTGAACGGAATGCTTATGAAATTAGTTTGTGGGTTTTTGTAACTTAATACACATCTGCGTATTTTATCAATATATTCTGCACTCATAACCATAATGTAACCGAATGAATTTATATTTCATCGTTTAGGAAATGAAACAATATTATTATTTTTTTTAAAGGAATGATATCAACCATCCACGCTTCACATTCTCAACCGATGGAATTATCGAAACTTGCTCACATCGATGATTATTCCAGTGCCACTGGTTCTTATAACCCCACGGAAGCGGCGCAAGAATCTAAAATTGATTTCGATTTGGACGTGAACGTTAACATCGACAGCGGAACATTTATTCTGTTTAACGATACCAAGGATCTGGATATCTTTAAGGAGTAAATAACTATCATAATATTATTCTGATGGAATATAAGATTTTTGTGATTATACTAATGGTTTTTTTAGTGGATGTCAAAGTTGTTATTTTACATTATTTATTACTAAATTATACTATCTCTGAGAGGCTCAAATATGTTTTAAAAAAATGGGAAAATTTTTTTGTTTGTTTTTGTAATCCAAAAAGCTTGTTCAACAAGGAAAAGTCTTTTATGACTAGCAAACAGCCTTCCGAGAACTGTTTGATTAATCTTATGACCGGTCAAACTTCGAAAAAGGGTAAACCGACTGTAGAAATCAACGAAAACGTCAATGCTGCGACTTCGAATAATCCAAACACTGGCAACAATCTGAATTGCCTCTCCTTTGTGTTGGATAAAATCAAAAGCGCTATAACAGCCGGACAGATAAAATACTCATCTTCTTTATATTTGCCAGGCTTAGATGTGAAAGTATATATAAAATATTTTAATAATTTTTTTTTGTTTAATATTGTTAAATTAATATAACCTTGAATATACGAGGGAAGATTAGCATAAATTGCATTCTTAGTGGAACCATGTCATTATAAAAGTTGATTTATTGCGAATGAAATTGCTTTCATAATACCAAAAGATATTTAAAGGGCTTTTTTTTAATCATTCTCTTCGTTCAAATTTTATTTATTATATTAAAATAAATCATATCTTAATTAGACGATGACTCAGAATAAGAGTTTGAAACATCGAATAAAAAGGGTGTTTTTTTTTATCGAGAGCTACAAAAATCTTCTGCTAATATATCGCGTCGCGTTGCCTCTCTTCACTTTATGTTACTAAGGGCTCGTTTATAGTAAGCGCGATTTGTTCAAGCGATGCTATTAATCGCTAGCGAATTCACAGTTATAATACTTTTTAAATAATTGTAAACAGCTCTCGCGATTTCAACATTTCGCTCCATATTGAAATTATACCTATTATTGGCTTGCTTTTATAAATTAGTTAGCCATTAAATTCGCATCGCTGGAGAAATCACGCTTAGTATATATTCTCACCGCTGTCAAAGCGATTTCAATTGACTCTATGATGGTGTCTACCGTGAATATGACCTTAGGTTTAAGTTTATGTGACGCTTTAACAGCTAAAATAAGATAGCTTATTTTATTTTTTTAAATATCTTACACTTATTATTTATTTATATTGAATTTTGTCACAAACTCGCATTTTATTAAAATGTTATATAATTATTAGGATATTACTTTTTTTATAGATTTTACAAAAGAAACGAAAAATTAAAATTTTAAAATTGATATCTTTTAAAGGTTAAATATTCATCGCATAATATCACGGCTAACCCAACCGCCCATCAACCTTACATAAAGCGGAGCTCGAAACATTATTCTAGCGAGAACACTCAAAAATCGCAAGTAATATTCATTTTAGGAGATACCGTAGTTGATATTATTTTAAAAGATTATTGTTTTTGACAGTGTGAAAACATCATAATGCCATTTTCGGTATTATAACCTTTTTTTTGTTATAAGCGTTTACATTTTTTTTTGTATTTGTAATTTATATAACCTGAAAAATACACGCTTGCTGGTTGAGAGTCTTTCATATATTTTTTTCAATTTAATATTGCCCTCCAAAACCCTCATCTAGTAGGAATGTATTTTTAGATTATAAATTACGAATACAAATGAATGAAAATTTAGTTTTAAAGATTTTTTATTGCGCACATAAATTAAAATTACTAAATATATGCTCCTTTAGTTTTATAAAATTAATGGAAAATTTTAATAACTCCATAAATTTCTGTATCACACTTCATAAGATAGGAAAATTTCTGATTCATCCATCATCTAATAAAGGAGAATTCTTATTCCCCGTCATTTTTGACGGGCTAGCTAGTGTATATATTATATCCAATAAATAAATATATTTACAATAAATAGGGTTTTACAAAAAAATGAATTAATTTGTTTTATTTTAAATGAAGGAAGGCAAAAAGAAAGGATTAAAATATGTAAAACTTTCTAATAATATAAAATCAGAAACCTACACACATTGATCAAATTTTCATCAGGCAAATTATTATGATTTTCAGTCAGGGCCTAAAAATATAAAACATACGATTTTTTTTTGAAATAAATATTATTTTAATTACCCTGTTGAAAAATCGCATGATATACATTTAAATATTTATTCGTTTCTTTATATTTTCGGATTTCCCTTCGAAAAAACATCCCCGTGCCTGGTAGGCTATTTTCCCAGGGCAGGGCAGGGCTTGAAAATTGTTAACTTTGTAGGCCTGATATATATAAATATTTGAAAAAAAAATTATATCTATATAAGATCAATCATGACCAAAATCCTCAACTCAATAAGGAACGAGAACTTCCTTTATTCAACTCCCAAAAAGTGAAGCACGGAGAATTCCATCCCAATGAATTGAATTACGGCGATAAAAACGACCAAGTTCTAGAAAATGATTCCGGAAATGCACTTAAAACTGCCGATCTGTACATATGGATTACGATTAAAACTTTTACAAAAGTTTTTTTTTCTTCTTTTCGAACGCTTTGAAATAAATTTAATTCTCGTTATACCATTCCCAAACACGTTTTTTGTTCTCCAAAACGCCAAAAATAAACGCAGATTTGTTCATACTCTACTCTGTTAATTAAAACTGTTTATTTTTCCCTCTTTAAAAAAATACTTCTTTAAAAAAGGCCATAGTAATAAAGGTCGATAGGCCTCTTTAAAAATACCTGTTCCATCTTGTGTCCCTATCTTTTAAAATTAGAATCGAAGTGTGGACCTTGATTTATCACTCCCTATATCTATAACGTCATTATTGTTATAGTGGCTACTCCACTTATCATATATTTGTTTTCTACTTTTTTAAAAACATTAAAAAAAGCAACAAAAATTTAAAAAAATAGAATAAGTTATACATATTTTTTTTGTGTCAGAAATCGATTACCAAAGATTATCTATAAATATTTGATAACGAAATTGAAAAAATTTTAACAATTAGCGAGACTAAAAGGTTAACTGAAAATTTTGGAAATACTTTAGAAAAATTTTAAAAGTTTTTTTTTAAATATCGATTTCCTTAATTATTTTTGTATTAACGCAAAATGAAAATGTGATAAACTTGTATTATCTCTTTTATCTCTAGTATATTCTGTTTTTATAATATATTTAACCTTTTTTATGTGAAAATTTGAATATGACTAAAATATTATATAATATAATAAAATTTAAAAATAAATAGGAAAACAAGCTTGATCCGCACATATTAGATTTTATAGAAGCCGTTTTAGAGCCTATCCCTATGGATGTTGATAATAAAACCACATTACAAAGTTTTAAAATTATAATATCACGAATTATTTAATTGTATGTTAATTTATGACATACGTTTAAAAATTTATATGCTCCTAATATTTTTTGGCTCATTTATAATTGATTAACAAAGCCTAAAAGTTTGTATATGTACATTAGCCCTTCATTGTATAGGTGGGACTTATCAGACCTCAGTAATTTTAAAAACGTGATTACTAAAATTCTTTCGATATTTTTGTCTGAATCTTTTAGTAACTTAACATTTTTTGATAAAATATATATATATGTGCAAAATTAATTTTGATTTTTTTTCAGTAGATCAAATGTTATATGGGTTTTTTTGGAACTTGTGGTCACATAGACCCTACCTGTAAATCCGTGTAAATTTTTTTCATCTGTTTTGGCATTGATATATTAAAAATAATAAATACTTTTTTATATATCATTTTTATTAATTAAAAATTATATCATATTAATATTTGAATCTTAGATAAACATTTCGACTTTTTAAAATAAATTATCACTCTTTTAACTCCCTCGGCAAAAGCTGATTTAATAAAATTTATAAAATAATAGTTAAGATCATGTTTATTTATATATTTTTAAAATATGGAAGCTACATTTGATTTTAATATATAGTACTTCTAAATTGGTGTCTTAGAAACCTTACCTATTCTCTCGCGTAATTTTTTTTCACCTGTGCAATGAAGGGTTATAATATAGGCTGACATCTAAAAAAATTTTATAAACATAAATTCATTGATAGATTATGTGTAACAATATAATATAAATATAGACTACTAAAATTCTACATATAATTACCAATGATCAACCTCTATTCATTATCAAAGCTTGTTAAATATTTCGAAAAATGAACCCTTTGTATAATCTAATATTTATTTATTTATTTAACATACCAAACAAAAAGATAACAAAATGGACATGAAAAAATCTAATATCTCCAATGCAAGTGAGGAGAATAACAATAAAACTGAGGAAAACAGCTACGGCCCAAGTAATGTTAAATCGGAATCGGCTAATACGACATCTTCGAATGTAGTGTACGTAGCCACGACTAATTTTCCCGTTAATGTTTTTGTCTACCTACGAGTCAATCCTTCGTCTTTTCGTTTTAGGTTTGATAAGAATTAATTGTTGTTTTTTAAAGAAAGAAAGTGTCATTTCCTACATTTTAATTTAGTTTTAATCTAGCATCTTTAGTCTTTAGTATCCTTTATTTCTTACTGAGTTCTAGTTATCGATCGTGGCATCCATCTATTTCTGACATCTGAATATTAGAAAACGGGCTTAGGCCCTTGAATTATTTTGGAAAGTTTTTTAGGTCTAGCCCTCTCGTATTTTTATTTGCTTAGCGCCCGGCCCCAAAAATATTAGTCGTGGCCAGTTCTACATATTTAATTGTTAAAAATATAACTTTTTTAATCCCATCATAGAATTCACATCTTAACCCCAAAAATGCTTGTTGTTTTTAATTCACCAGAGTTTTATATCATAATGTGTTTAAGAACACCATTTAGTCCATAAAATAAAATTGAATACATTGTTATACACGTTCTTTAAAAAAATATATATAATAAGTTGCTTACCAATGTCAAGAGTTGAATGCGTCATATATTTACCTTCTTTGGACTTGATATTTACTTCTAAGGCTGCCGATTCACTTAATACCGAAATCGAGTTTGACGAATACGAAGAAGAAAGTTTGATATTATATTAATTTATTTATTTTTCGATTCATCATCAAATTAATAAATATTTTCAAGAAGAAGATATTAGAAAGGGATACTTTAAAAAGAAAAGCCCTCATTTCAGAAATTAAATTTGATAAGCATTCTTACAAAAGATGTTCACTTATTTTATATATATACCATGCATGAGAGGGAAACAATAAAATTCTCAAATAATAAATATCAGAAGCCAGAGGTACCATTTGACGACCGGCCTGGATGTGGAAAATTTTTTTTTGACTTATCTGGATTTTTTTTAAAATTTTCTCAGCCGGGTTTTATATATTTAGACCTGGCCCGGATTTTTTTAAAAAAATTCCCCACACCACTCTCCGAATTTTTTTTAAAAAAATTTCTGCCTGGGTATGTAAATTTTTTCTAGAGCCTTGGGTTTTTAAAAATAGCCTATTCTGAATTTTTCGGATCGTTATTTAATACCTTTTCAAATAATCCTAGCTTCCCATTTGTCTTAAAAGGAGTGAGTTTGAATTACCACGTTTTCAATTCGACTGGTCGATGGTGATTCCCTTATTTCCTGTGATTTAATATAGTCTTTATATAAGTATCAATAATTTTGGCTCACTCCCTGGCAACATGTGTAATTGCCTGAATTTGGGACAAAGAAAAGAGATAAATTGATATTTCTCTAACATAAATTTTTCCATTAAAAAGTGTATTATATTTTAAATATTGAGTATATCTTTGTTGCTTTTAATTTAATTGAATATCAATATATTGAATTGATTAGTTGAATAATTTATTTTAATTATATTTTACTATAAATATTTTCTAAGGATCGCAAAATAAGATATGATAAGTGATGAATGTGGTTTATTGTTCAATGATACACAATTTATAAATATATTTTTAATTAATTAGCGATTTAAAATATTCAGCCCGGCCCGGATATTTAAAAAAAAATTAGGTTCGGTCTAATCCGAGTATAGTTAAAATATAAAAAAAAAATTAGGGCCGGGTCTCAGGTCTGATAATTATTTTTTATCTTTAAAAAAAATAAGGCGACAATATAACGGATCGACCCATATATCTCATAAAACAATATTCACATTCCGGTAACGGTGTGAGCATAATGCTCTACTTGTCCAAATTTAGCCTCGAAATTTTTCACCCTTTCGGGGGCATAACGACTACCTCCGCCATTAATAATCTCAATTCGTCCTCCATCCCTAGTAATCTCAACAAACTATCTGAATATCTCAAGGACAAGCAGCCAGAAGAGTCACCTTCTTTTTCATCTAAAGGTATATTAATTTGAATAAAACACTATTTTTGACTTATATCTTAAAGTAATTTTTAGGGAAATTACATATATTTTTTTCTATAATTACATAAATAATCGCAAAATTAAGCGGATAAAAATGAAGACCTCCCGGGAGTTCCAATGCACTACGAAAAGTCCAAGAGCCGAAAAAAATTCTTGAGCCTTGAAATAGATTATGTCCAAGTATAAATTTTAAATTTTTGTTTTTTTTCTTATAAATCTATTTGCGGATGTCGCATTTTATTTGGATAATTAACATTCTTCTAATTTATTGCGTAACGTAGGTCAATATCATGAGAAAGCGTACCTTGATCAGTTCGAAGAAAAAATTTAAGAATTTACCCAAAAATTGTAGGGCTTCCCTCACCTTCGATAGCGACAATCAACAATTTATCATATATTTATCTGGTAATTTTTATCTTATTTACCAAAACTTATAATTGCGTATCTTTTATCAAATTTTATCATTCTATTATTTTATTTGTTTTGCAGTTAGCTATTTAATATTGTTATATTCTCCTCTTTTTTTTAAAAAAAAAATCATAAATTGGGCATCATTAATTAACTATATATATTTGAATAAAATGGCCCTCTTCGAAAAAGGTTTATGCGACTTTGGTTCGGCTTCTTTCAAATACGATATGAGGCGATTAAACGAAATATTGGTTTTTCCTAAAGCTTGGTATCGAAAGTCGATTGCCAAAAGAATCATTTTAGGAGAGCACGGTACTACGTTCCTCGGAAATAAAGAATAATTTTTTTTATGATACGTTTAATTTAACCTTGTTATAAAAGTTATGCTGGCTCAAATATGTTATTTCGGCATCCAAAATATGTCACTAACTTTTTAACTTTATTTTTTTAGTCTCGTCTACATCCAGCACAACTAACATTAATCGAAATGTAAGTGACAAATCGAAGTTTTTGGATAAACCGAATCCGACCAATGTTGGTAACGATCTATCTCCTGGCTCTTCTAATATAGAATCATCCAGTCTTTCTTCTTCTTGCGAGAATTCCAAATTAAATAGTTAATTTCATAAATATAACCATTATTATTAATTTGATTCGATTCTTTTTTTTGGATATTATAATAGTGTTAGTGACTTTATCACTGATAAAATTTTACAATCCTATTAAAAAAAATGTTTACGCAAAAAAAAATAGGTAAAATATTACAGATGAATAAAGTTTACAAGAAACGACATAACTTACAAAAAATCAGCAAAAACAAGAAAAATGGGAAAGATAGCAAAGCCAATAACACAACATCCGACGATATTCAGCCAAAGAAACGCCGGCAAATAACCTGGGAATCGTTGCTAGTTTTTTCGGTTAGATTTGAAAAAGTTGACATACAAATGAATATGGGTAACGTGATGGGGAATGTTAAGTAAATTTTTAAACAATTCATTTATATTATTTATAGGGCCGTAACTAGAACCCTTCGCTTGGGGCACTAAGGGACCACCATTTTTTTGAGAATTGCATAAGAATATAAGAGAGAACGAAAGAAAGAAAATAGATCGATTATATTCTTGCTTTCTGCTATCTTTTTGCCATGTGAGTATTATTAGGTTCGTCATATTTAAAAAGAGGTTCACGAATAAGCAGCTTAGCTTATATTAATAGATAATGCTTCAATATAGTTATATTATAGTAAAATATAAATAATTTTTAATTGGGCCTATTTAAAAAATGAACACGAGTCAAATAGTGCATTGATCGTATTACGAATAATAAAATTTGTATTTTAATTTTTTTTTAAAATAATCTGATGACAAAGAATCAATGATCAAGTTATTAATAAAAATAAATTAATATACAATTTTTAATGCAAAGAGTTTATTTAATTGTTTTTTCTTTATAAGGCATGGGATTTTTTGGCAGGGAATGCTTTTCACAGGTAGTTGATATATAGTATACTTTGTTAATCATATCACCTGTCAGAAAGTTTTTTATTAAAAAAACTTATTAATAATTTGTTTGAAATTTTCTTTTTATTCGAATTCGAAACAAAAAAGAATATTTAAATCGTTTTTGAGTATAACTAATTTAGAATAAATTACTGAATTATTAGTATTAAGTAAGCATAACTTTATTTAATATTTATACATTTTGTATTTTAATTATACTAAAATATTTTTAAAGGGAATAAAACGAAAAAAGTTTTTTGTTTTTTTCACGAAATTTAGTTAGGAACCAGAAACTTTCTATGGGAACCTTGGCCTTCAAATATCCTTCTCATATAGTTGCGGCCCTAATTTATCAAATAATCCGTATATATTCAATATTGTAATCTATTTTTTTAAACAATAAAATAAAGTTGGAATTCTCAAGGTTGGGAATTGCATTCAAGAATTTATCTCAACTCTGACCACAAAAAGAACGTATTATTCTCCTTCGGACTCAAGCAATCTGTTTTAGATGCCAAAAGTGGCATAGTTGGAGGGGATATGGAAATGAAAAACTTCTTTCAAACCAGTTTGACATTATATATTTAAAAAATGATAAGTATTTCCTAAATATTTTTTTCCCCGCTTTTTTCAAAAAATCGTGCTTTTTCTACATTATACAATATCGGATAGAATATATATTTGATAGGAATATTCGGATTAGGTCTGTTGGATTAAAATTCCTAGATTTTCTCGGAGCAGGCCTCACAAATAAATAGGTTCAATGCCGGGACTATTATAAATAGTAAATTATTGTGACAACCCTTGTATTCTCTTCTTTTTTTTAATGCCAGTTAACATCATCACAAATCCTTACCAAATCCTGACCCATGATGCCAACGCGATGTTAGTAGTGCTTCAAATCAGGATGGATTACATGGGGTCGACTATTTTGATAGCCAGGATATCTCACATCAATGCGTCCATTAAGGACGAATTGGATATAACTCAAAAATATCATTACGATCACCGCGACGGGCGAGACCAAAAAAATGGAGAAACTGATTCTAGCGATATTATTGAGGGGAGATGGGGCGATCGATTTTTCAACCATGGCAATAATAATGAACAAGATATTATGTAATTCGCATCACGTGTTTGTTCTAAATATAGTCTGCTGAGTATTATAATTATTTATTTAAAATAAATTACGAATATTTGTTGGGGGTCACTTTAAATACAATTTTTTTTTTAAATTTTGTTTTTGAGACAGTGAGGTTAATGGGAAGGGTTAAACGAGTACTCAGCATGCCTGGATTTAGTTTTAGGACGCATTGATAATTATTTAATTAAATTTTTTTTTAAAATATATATTATAAATTTATAAAAGCTACAATCGCATAAGGTTACATAACACCTTCAAATGGGACCATTTTCAACTTCTCATATGCCAGTCAACTCAAATGGATTTGATAAAAATGTCTACCAAGATCAAGGAATTCTTTCAGCAGCAGTTTCAAAGTAGCGTAGCAATACTTCCCAATCTCAAAAAATCATTGAAAGGAAGCGATTATCACAGGCGAAGATCATCGGATAAATATGATCAAACCGATTTAAAAACCGGTTCGGCTAGAATGGCGTTGAGTAAAGCCCACCATGACCCGATCAAATCGGATACTAGAGAAGAAATAAAAATAAAAAGGAGGGGCGGTGTCGGAAGTTTAACCGGTTATTTTGATTTTTTAATCCTTGATTATTTTTAGAATCTTTATTTGGTACTGTAAACGCTAATTTAAAAAAGTAATTATGATATTAATGGAGTTACCTTACGGCACTAAATATTTTTGAAAATATAAATCATGTTTAATTAAAATAAAACTACAACATTTTTTTCCCACAGAAAGGTTCAAATTTCAAAAGCTTATGCATTTTTCTATTCACTAAGCACGTCGTTAATATTTTTTAGTAGGTAACCTGTTACAAAATTTGTTTTAATTATTTAATCCCAAGTCTCTACCGTTTTACCCAGGTATTGGGGTAAAATATATTTGTCACTTATAAAATAAAAAATAGCAAAGCAAGTAGCGATTAGTTATTATTTTGTGGTCTTATATAATGGCTAACGGATGGCAATAAATAATCCTTTGATTTATACCAAAAAATAAAATAATTTAACAATCTTTCTAAATAAGATACCGACTTGGTAGGACCGTCTACCGAAGCCGTAACCTCGCATTACGGTTACTGGGTAAAGATCAGAAATTTGATTCAACGAGTATCTTGTAGGCTTTTAGTACCAATACCCGATACCAATATAAACTCGTCCGACAATTCCCTGCTATTAGGAGGTTCTTTTCTTTTCCAGGGAAACCATCTCTCCTTAGCCTGTTTTTACGGTATCAACTTCAGGGCTAAAACTTGGGCTATTTTCAGCATGAGAGAAATCAGCGTCATATTTTCGAGCTCCAATCCGGGACCCAACTTTATTAGACAACTTAAAAATGTGAGTGCAACTTTAAAGCAAGAAGGTACTGTGGATGAGGTTAGATGTAGAGAAGCTATGGCTAAAAATGGCATTGAAGGTAAATCACTTTCTTATTTTTTTAAAAAAAATAGAATTATGATTATGAAATCAACAATAATTTTAGCAATTGGCTGTAGTTTTTTATAGGGTTCATAGCCTCTAGAATATTCTAGAACGCAAGCGTTTTTTGAGGGAATCGTAAAACTTATTTTATAGCAATTTTAATAATAATACACTATTTCGCCATCTATATACTTGTAAAATTATTCATTTATTTTACCCTATTGATTTACTTTTTTTCGCATTATTTTTTTACTCTTCCAAAATATTATTAAGAATTAAATGTATGTTTTTTTTAAAAATATAAATTTATTTATTTCAAAGCTATCATAGACTCGTTAAACATCACTCAAAATATACTTTTCCAGCTAGGGCTCCCATTAGAAACGATAGCTCACGAAAAAGCTAAAAAGATTTATACCGAGATGGCTATCATCATGAAAATAACGCGTAGCCATTACATTCCCCCTAAATCATCCACCATACAAGAATGGTGTAATTACGCCTTTTATAAGAGCTCAATCGATGGTAAAAAAAATATTATATACGCCATATTTTTATTTTTTTTAAGTAATTTTAACTTTGATTCCTAAAGAACAAACTTTTTACTCATATAGAAAATATTTTAAGCGTTTCTGAGATTTCCACAGCCACTTTTATTATTTTAAAATCAATATAAATTATTGGCATAGGCGTCACGTTTTACCATGAGTTTAACTGTTTTGATTTTAATTTTTACTAATATCAACATTTTAAATTTATACGAAAATAAATTAGATTTTTCCTTATTATAGCTATTACATTTTACATACTAAAAAAATAAAATAACCAAGATATCGAAAGTTTTCCATTTATAGAGGCCAGGAGACCTGTAATCATAAAAGACTTTCGCAATATGTCCGCCGAAACTATATTTTCTTTACCTCGATTGCAATTCAACGTCAAATCGGAACACAAAATATGTCATGATATAGGGAGCCAAGGTTTTTTAAGATAAAAACGAAATTATATAAGATTTTTTAATATTTTTAAGTCATAATTATTGATTCGATTTTATCCAATCTAATCAAATATTTTTCGAATAATATCTATGAGTATTTATTCCAATTTTATTCGATTCGGTCATATAAATATTAATTTGAATGAATATAAAAAAAATTTAACTCTAAAAATTTTGAATTACTACGAGAATGAACACAATAATATACTAAAAATAGTTTCATTGGAGCGTAATATATTTAACGAAAGTAAATACATAATATTAAGTACCCTATTGTATCATATTATTTATATATGATTAAATAAAATATTTATTCTCATTAATTTATCAGTGACGAAGGCGTGAAGTTTGCTAGTAAAGAAGCATTTAATTTATTTTTATTTGCAAAAGCATACAAGATGCCATAAATGGGCGGAATTTGCCTTTGTTTTTGGTAAAATGCTCAAACTAAAAAATAAAGTTATTGTAAAAAAATTAATTTTTTATTTATAAAAAGCGGTTTTAATTTTTAAAAAAATACTAAATATCAAAATAAAAAAATATTTAAAAAAAACAAATAAGAATATATTAAAAATGATATAGAAAAATATATAGAAAAACATTAAAAAGAACTTTAAAGACAATGTATATATCACTCTAGAGAGGAATGAATGCTTATGAAATTGTAATCTGCTGACGAAGATAAAATCCTGCGTTGAGGTCGCCTATAATTCTCTTTTTTGCCTATGTTAATTTTTTTCAACTAATTTGTTTTCAATTGAATCAATGAAGATGGACAATCGGTTATGATTTCATTCTGTTTTTATAATAAGTTGTTATTCTATTTAAAGATGAAAACCCCTAGTTGCTGGAGGCCGGATAAAAGGTTTTCATTATATTTCCAAACCTTATAAAGTTGGGTGTTTGTTTCCCTTTTTCGGTCATTTCTTGAGCTAAATGAATATTTTTAATAAATTTTTAACAGCACAATTCATTTTAAATTAATTTTTGTTTTTGTTAAGGAAATATTTTTTTTAAACGTAAGATAAACACAATATATTCTTATGGTTTTCTCCAGGGATCCAAACCGAACCGTTAAACCGCTAAAAACCGGTATTTTAATGAACCTGAACCTAACCAAAACCGCTAAAAAAATTCTAGCTGAATCTGAACCGAATCGCTAAAATGCCTCTGAACCGGTTCGAGCCTCATGATTCTATTCTTATAAAATAATATCTAAGTTATTATTAGCATATTGATAAAATTTCATATTCGAATTATTTTAAAGATTATCACCAATCACATTTGATTGATAAGTGTCGGTCATAATTTTTATAAATATTAGTATATTGTCATTTAAGCTTATAAATTATAATGTTTAGAGAAAAATTAAATCCAAAATATTATTATAAATGACACATCAAATCTGATATCATATTGGCAGTGCCGGCTATCCAAGGTGGAAGATGTTTTTCAACAATTAAATTTATACTATCTCCTTATAGATGTAATTTGTCATTTAAGCTTATAAATTATAATGTTTAGAGAAAAATTAAATCCAAAATATTATTATAAATGACACATCAAATCTGATATCATATTGGCAGTGCCGGCTACCCAAGTTAGTGGAAGATGTTTTTCAACAATTAAATATATACTATCTCTTTATAGATGTAATTTGAGTGAGACCATTTTAAAATATATTAATTGTGCAGCTTAATAAAAAAAATTTAAGTAAAAAAAATTAAAATATATTGATATTTATAAATTAAATATTATTTTATTATGTGCAATTAATAAAAATGAAGGTTTTATTTATACATGTGTTTTTAAAATTAATGATAAAATAAAAAAATAGTTTGAATTTTTAGAGGTTCGAACCGAACCGATATTTTAATTTTTTATAAACCGAACCTGAACCCACACCGTTATTCGTTTCGGTTTTGATCCCTGGTTTTCTCTTTATTTATTTTTAAAAAAAGAAACAATTTTATATTTGCTTCCTGTATATGTATTTAACATAGTAAAAAATAGTATTTATTTTTTTTATAAAGTATCATGCTTTATCACTGCTACACATTATTAGGTTAATGTTATATACTGCCAAAGTCAGTGTTGAATAAATCGATATATTATTTATTTGGATCAAAAACTACCATTTTGATTATAATATATATTTAAAAAATCGTAATTTTTCGGAAAGCGTCTGTGGCGTAGTCGATAAGCTCGCCGCTTGCCAAACTGATAATTCTTGTCCAGCAAGGATCATATTTTTTTTTGAAACTAACTATAGTTCCGTCCTAGGGGGAGGGGTTATATATATATATAGAATATTAAATCGCGTGATATAAAAATTGATTTTATTGCATTTTAAAAAATAATTGCTCTTTAGAAAATTTCTATATGTCGACTTAGCATTATTTAACATCAACCATATTATTATTATGTATACAATCTATAATACTTTTCACAAAAACATGACGGAAATTTGTATAAATATTATTCGAATATTTTTTTTTATTGTTCAATATGAAATTATTAGAAATTGAATGATAAACGAATCGAATAGCATAAAAATTAATCGATTCGAGAATAATCTAAAATATTTGAATTTTATTCAAAATTTCGTCAAGCATAACACATTTCATAAATATTACTATTCAGTGTGATTTAGATTAGGCTAAAAGTGTATTTTCCTTCAAATATTATGAAAGCGATAATGTATTAACATGAAACTGTCTTTTGTAAATAAAAAGAAGTTAGAACCGTCATATCTTAATATATCATCACATTACAATAGTAAAAATTATATTTAAAAACAGGTTGGAACATTAACGATTAAATGTTATTATTAAATATTTGCCTTTAAGCCTCTCAAACTACGATACAAATGAATATTGAATACGATTTTTTATCCGAATTTGAAAACCATATATTAGTTTCGGTAGATGCTGAAGCTTTAGCATTTCTCCATGACCTTATCATCTCTTATACCAATAAAAATTATGGACTACAAAGTAGATAAAGTTTTAACGCATCATTTAAAAAAAATAATAAAAACCCCAAAAGAGAGTTAAATATGGATTATTTATATTTCTTTAAGATCTTTCTAGAAAGTCATCCACTACCCAGATCACATCAAGTGATATTTCCGATATGGAAAGCTTTCAAGCCAATGATTTTAGGAAATTTATATGTAGGACATGGCGTTTAGAACCTACCCTGAGGTATAAATAATATCTTATAAAATTTCTTCAATAAATTTCTAATGTCCTCTTCTCAATTATAGTGCTAGCTAAACTGCATTTTCAAATGTTAACGTGCACATTGACCACAATTTGTAAACATAATAAAAACGCAAACTAGTTTGCTTTTTTGAAATACTTTGAAAACGCTCATTTAGGTCGCACTATTTTACACCAATTTACTCTTTAATCTCCTTTTTTTTCATCTACCACAGTCATGTGCATTACCATTAGTAAATTTTTAGAGACTCTCTTTAGGGAAACTCCTAGATAGTAAATACACAATACGGTTATGAGTTTTTTTAAGATAATCTTAACTAATTTCAAAATTAAAACCTAGTAAAATTATATTATATATTCTCTTTTTTAAAAAATTATAATAACATTAGAATAATTTCTTGGAAAGGGCAACATTTAGAAGCTTACGGTGTAGATTATATATTGCATAAATTAGGATTTACACATGCTAGATTGACCATACCTAAATGGATTCAAAGGGCTGCTATGGATCCTTTAGATAAATTTTTATCTATGGCTTTATATTATATCTTGACGAATTCAGATAAATTTATAAAATTTTAATTTCACTTATTAAAAAAATAAATAGTAATCTATGTATTTTAGAATAGATTTGCATTATATATTGTATAGTATGTAATTATATTTATTTATGAATATAAGTATTTATTCTGTCACATTTATTAGATTATTAAAATAATTTTTATGTCTACAATTTGTTTTTTATTAATCTTTCACAAATATATGGTGCAATTATTTTGTTTATGTACATAATATAATATGAGGCAAAATCAAAGCTAACAATATTGGCAATTGAATTGACTATTGATACATTTGTAAGATTAATTAAATCAAATATAATTTTGTTATCAATTAAATTTATGCTGTAAACATTTTTTTCTGTTTTAATAACAATTTGTGTTATATAGCCATGCTCTATATTATATTTAACCATATTGAACCTATTTAATAAAGGGATTATATCATTATCAAAAATTAAGGATAAGGAAAATTTTGGTGTTTTTCCATAAAGCCATTCCCAACTTTTGAACTCCTGTATTGCTTTATATATTCCTGGAAAATTCTTTTCATTTGGTTCTATTTCAAATATATTATTCTAATAATATATAATTATATTTTTAAAATACAAGGTATTTTTTATAACCTCTGTATTTTTATAGAAACTTAAATAGCTTTTGGCAATATATTTTATTATAGTGTCTTGATCAACTGTTGGATTTATATTAATCAAATTTTCAACTTTAGATCTGACGCTTTTGGTAGCTTTGCATTCAATGTGGAAAGGAAACAACTTTAAACAATAAATATTTTTCTTATAAGAATATATTACTTGGGATGTTAAATAATCATTAATCAAATTTAAATCAGAGTTAACAAGCAATGTACAATGATGATAACATAATTTGCTACCAATCTTAGCCGCACTTCCAGATATCTTAATTACAATTTAATAAGTGTAAAATATATTAATATACCTTTTTATTCAGATAAATTAAATCATCTTTATTATTAATTTGTATATTAATATTCAAGGCATCATTTAGTGGCACTTGAATCAATGACAGATTAACCTTTCTATTGTACTCATGTTTATAAGTAAAAAAAGAAAAATTAACATTTCCTTTATCGTGATAAACTGTTCCACCCCCACTCTTTCGCCTACATATATTTATGTCATCTCCCAGAAGTTTCTGAATATTTAGTTCGTTCCAAGGATTTTGGAATCTTCCAATAACAACACATGGCTTATTAATATATATAAGTAAAATCCTATTATTTGTATTAGAATATATGTAATCTTCTAAAGCTAAGTTGGTGTAAATATCATGCGATTTAGAAATATACACGTTATAATCTTGAAGAGAATTATGATAAAATCTTATAAACCGAGCCAACACACGTGCAAGCAACATCTGATTAATTAAATTGTTAAAATTGTGTTCATATCCACATTATTATTTGAGAATCATTTTATATGGGTTATAATTTTATTTTCTTATAATAATTTAAATTTTCATTATAATAAATTACAATTTTATTTTATCAAAAAAAAAGATCAATTATATTTTTTTTATGCTCCCCTTTTTTTAACATAAACAATCTCTATATATATCTTTTTTTAAACAATACAAATTGATACATCCAAAAAACAATGTTAAGTGTATAAACAAATGTCACATTAAAATGATATATATATATATAAAGTTAATATAAAATTTTGACCGAAAGGTATAATCACTATTATTTAACAATGATGTAAATATAAAATTTTAACCGAAAGGTATAGTCACTATTGTTTAACATTCCAACCTCCAAAGAAATTCGGCTTATGATTTCCTTGGAGTTGAGTGGTGACGCCATTAACGTGCATTATGGTCAGGCAATACGCCACGCATGTTCATGGTGCAGTCTTCTTTTCAAACCGAACGATGGCTTGGTAAAGTAAAGACAGCTAGTCCAAACCGGGTCGCTTGTGCATGGCATCGGACATCTAGATTCCTTTCGAGCAAGGTTTATTTTGTCGTGCTTCAGACAGCAATCCAATTTCTGGGTCGTTGCATCGATCTTGGCGGAAAGTATGATCTTAGTCGCGGCATCGAGCTTCAAGTGAACTTTCTCTTGTCTGACCATTTTGGGTTTGTAGGAGTAAGTTGATTTGAGGTCTTTTTTTGTTGTCGAGATTATCTTCTCGAGATCATTCTCTACATTACCCACTAAGAACGTTTTTAAAATGTTGAAGGTGTAGAGCCACACACGTCCTAGCAGGGGGATTTTATCACAATCCACTACAATGGCCTCCAGTGTATGTGAGTTTCCTTCATACTTAACGTTCACATTGGCAAGACCTAATATCTTGATAGCGCTGCCGTCATAACCAGTGAGTCTCATGTCCGTCTTACGTATCGCGGTTATGCCTACAGTCTTAGCTGTCAGCTTCGGAAGTGTACTGTGCTTGGTACCGGTGTCAACTTGCATCAACGTGGGTATGCTGTTGATGCTCACTGTCACGTTGTACGCGTCATATGTGGTATCCTTGACCCCCATATTGTATGCAGATTATATTCTTTAAGGTCTGTGTTTGAATCATCGTCATCATCAATTACTTCGATGTTCATAGCATGGTTCGTATTCAATTGACAGTCACGATCTTTGTAATCAGAAGATCTATTGTAAGTATTATTGTCATTTTTGTACTGGTTAGGCCTCGACGAATATTTCGGAAAACCATTAATATTTTGAGGGTTGTGTCTGTGCTAACCACGACGGGAATAGTTGGTTCGGTTATCACCTCTATAGCAGTCATCCCGTCGATCAGGGCTTTGATGATGGTCATAAGAGTCGTGGCGATTGCCATGGACGTTGTACCCGCTATTGTTGTATCGATCGTCGTAGTAGTTATCGTTGCGATTATCGAAACGGTTGCGGTTATTGTGACAATTATCATAGCTTTGATCAAAACGATTGTCGTGGAAGTTGCTGTGCCGTCCGTTGAATCGTTTGTCGCGGTCGTTGTCGTAGCGTATATCGTAACATTCATCAAATCGTTTATCACGGCAATAGTCGCAGCGTAAATCGTAACGTTCATCGAAATGCTGTGCGGGGTGATTGTCATTGATGAACTGGGATTGCTTGATAAGAGATTTACCATGTGCGTGAGAGTCCTGAATGGGTTTTGTTGTTACGTAACTATTTTTGACTTTGCCCATGTGATTAACCTCTTGTACACCAGGTGATTCATACAAATTTAACAATCATCTCGCCCTTGATGCCACTGGGTCCGCGGTGTCTTCCTCTAGACCTAGATTGTAAATTTCTTCTATGGTCATAGAGCTGTTGACCACTTTCCTGACATCTTTGGAATACGAGGATACTCTCACTTCCTCAATAATTCTCTTAATGCCATTAAAATTACATTTTTTGTTGAGTCGTGCTACACGCGTGACCCAGGCTGAGAATGTTTCATCCTTGCCTTGAGTTGCAGCATAGAATAATGATAGTTTAGCATTCTCGGTCTTCGATGGATGTTGCAACTTGTTTGCCAAGCAGGGTAATTGGGTCTTGGAAGTCTTCCTCGGTGCAAAATGCCCCAATATTATTGAATTCATCATCAGGAAGACTTCAGAGAAATAAAGCGGCCTTTTCTCCATTGGAGATCTTGCTGGTGTTGAAGAAATTCTGCAATTTACCTATGTAAGCGATGTCATCGCTACTAAATTTGGGGAAATCTAGCTTGACAAATTCAGTCATATATGTGGAATTGTTCAAAGCATCCATCGTAAGAGAATTATAATAGATAAAGGCGTGAAATAGAATATAAGTACATCGATAAATCAAGATCAAATTTTGCGATAATACTTACGCCGAGTTCAGACGTTGATTGGCCTACATGTTAAAATTGTGTTCATATCCACATTATTATTTGAATATCATTTTATATAGGTTATAATTTTATTTTCTTATAAAATTTAAATTTTCATAATAAATTACATTTTTTTTATGCTCCCCTTTTTTTTAACAAAAACAATCTATATATATATATATATCCTTTTTTAAACAATACAAATTGATATATCAAAAAAACAATGTTAAGTGAATAAACAAATGTCACATTAAAATGATATATATATAAAAAAGTTAATATAAAATTTTGACTGAAAGGTATAATCTCTATTATTTAACAATGATGTTAATATAAAATTTTAACCGAAAGGTATAATCACTATTGTTTAACATAAATTAATTTTTTTAGAGATTTAACAACCTAAATTAGATACATGTTATTATAATTAAAGAAGTGTATAAAGATATATATATATGTATACAAATAAGTTAATCAAATATGAAATATTTTTATAATAACATGTAATATTCAGTATATAAGGCCACTTCCAAACTTGATTTTACAAATTAAAATTATTCAATTTTTTGCAGATTTCTAGCTAATATTTTCATTTTCCACATAAAATTTGGATTACATCTTCTTAATAACATATTCTAAAAAAATTTAATCTTTATTTGAGATCAATTCTTGTGAAAGCTACTGAAAGGTTCTCATAAATATGGTATTTTCTTTTATTGTTCATTCGTGTTATAAGTAACCACAATCAAGGATAATCAAATTTGAATAGAACAATTTGCATAAAAATTAAAACATCCATCATTACAATTAGACGGGAGAACATACTCGAAGTAATTCCTGAATTGGTTATTCCCTCATAGAAAATATTCAGCAGAAATGTAATCTCTATTCATTACAAAACTACTCCATCAATTGATAGAAGCTTCTAGGTTGAGGTTCAGGGACAATAAAAGTAAAAGCAGCTTACGTTCTTGCTACTCTCATGGTTTGCTGTTTCTTTTAAAAATCTTTGATTGTATCCTTCATTTACCTTTAACTCATATGTTACCTTTTGACATCCATTCTTTCCCCAAATAAAAATTTTATCTCAACAGAGCATTAATATTGGCTGCCTTGGTACTATTTAAGTCCAAATATAAATATATTAAAATAAAATTTAAGAACCATATAAAAAAAAATATAATATAAAAAAAATCATGAATTGATAAAAAATTTGATCTTTAAAATTCTAACATATTAAGGAGCGTGCTTAAGTATTCTTAAGGGTCGCAGGATAAAAGGCGAGAACCACATGTTCAAAATTATCAAGTGTTGTGGACAGCATCTACACGAGCAGGGTAAGGGGGTCAGGGCATGCTGTTTTTTGAGAGGGGTTAGGATAAATATATTGGGAAGGGGGGGGGGGGGTGGGGTTATCTATTAAATTCTTGGAAATAGGGCAAAAATTTTTAAGAATTAATACTTTTATTATAGGCCTATTATGATATTGATGATCATCGACCAAATCTATATATTGCAAACAATCATAGCCATTATTTTCCAAATAAAACTTTCTGCTATCCTATTAAATTTCTCAGAAAACTTATATCATGCCAAAATACTATAAAGGATTCGTTTTAAATGAGGGGGTTTTTAATTGAATTCATCATCTTAAAAATAACTCTTTTATATTCACAATATTTTAATAGTTGTTAGTAGAGCCAAAATAATTAAAGATTCTTTTAAAAATTTATGAAGGGAGTATCATCATAATTAAAAAGATGTAATTTATATTGTGGAAAGACCCCCAAAGACGGTGGAAAGAAAATTCTGTCATGTAAATACTGGTTGTGGATACCATGAGAAGGAAGTTGATATTGTATAGGAATGAGTATTTATACTGTTAACCATTTTCAGCTTGAAAAATGGAATTCACATGGGTATCGAGAATAAATGCGATATGAAAGTTTCCTTTGTAAAAAGGGGTTCCTGATAAAAATGTAATCAAGATGGGCTATGCGCTATCTAATAAATGCAAGAATAAAACCAAAAAATATTGTTTAGACGGACGAACTCTAAATAGAATAAAGATATAAAAAATTAACTTGTACTACACAATATAGAAATTTATTTTTAAGTTATAGATAGTCGTAAAGTGTGGATCCGGTTTATATTAAATGTCTATACATGAGGTGGAGCTCAGAGATAAGCATGAAGTCCTTAACTAATATCTTATTTACATTTATATTAATTATGTGTGCTAAAAATTTGTTGTTCGTTCCCTTTATAATTTTTTACTCCATTCTTCATTGAGAACCTGCCCTTTACCCCCTGAATGATATGAAGGCAACTTGTTTCTCTTCTCCTATATGTAGACATTATTTTGCATTATGAAATAAAGAATCTACAGTAACCCAAGTTCTAAAAAAATTCATTTCACTATCTATCCCTGTGCAATGCCATCTATTAATTTGGGCTATATCAATCTCTTTTTTAGTTAATTTATTGGGGTATTTAAGAGAGGGCAAAAAGTTATTGGATATGTGTTTCATAATCATAATTTTTATAATGTAATGTAGGTGTCATTATGGATTTTAAAAAAAATAGATTTGATGACTGGTTCTACATTTTTACTTCGCAGTAATTGGTTTTGGGAAATTTTACTTACAACCATTGGTTTCATTGCAAAATTTAATTACGACAGTTTAAACATAATTATAATATCAAAAAATGTCAAAAGTAATTATGAAAAAATAAAAAAATATATATTTATTAAAAAGCAATAGCTAATTCTGCATTTAAAATTTGTCTTATAAATTCTATAAGTTTCAAAACTTTCAGTTTAAGGAATTCGTAGGCTATGTTTTTATTTTATAAATATATTTTGGACATATTCTATTTTAATATTAAAAATCTTTTAATCTTTTTCGGTATAATCCCTAAAGTTTACATATTTAATTTTTTGATGTTTTGGACACAGGCCAGATCAATCAAAATAAAGCAGCAGACCTTAAGTAATCAAAGATAATTATTAATAAATACAGAAAAGCAGAATTAAACTACCAATTTTATAATATCATCATTGGCTCTAAATGATAGTTATCAAAAAAATTTTAACAAAAAAATCAAAATATGATCTGATTTCAATTTTACCTACATTTGGAATCTAATCTTTAACTTCGCTTCAGTTCAGTTTTGTAGCTTCTAAGCCATACTTCGGTTTTATTAGAAAATTTACAGTTTTTTTATATTTTTGCAATGAAAATTTGTATTAAATAAATAATACCTATAATAATTATTAGAAATTCAATTTTTTCTAAACAATATATTCTTTTCAAATTTTTATCAGTTAACATTTAAATTTATTCAGTTATATAATAAAAATATCAGTAAATACAAAATTAATATTTGCTTTGATGAGTTAAAAAATTATCAAATAAATGATGAGAGTCATAAAATTATTATGCCCGCGTATCATGTCGTCCTTTCGCAGTTATTATTTTTTATTTGTATTCAATTTTAAAATTTAAAATAATAGTCATTTTAAACGAAATATCTTCAAACTGTAATTAGACTATATAAAAATATCAAAAAAAAGTATTTAAAATATATTCAAAAATAAATTGTATCCAGTTAAATTTAATATTTATATTTTCTATCGGGTATTGAATTTAAGATGCAGTTTTATGGTCATCTAGTTGCAGTGGGAAATTTTTTTAAAAATTTAATTTCATGATATTCCATAAGAGGCTCAATTGATCATTTTATTTTATTATATTATCCTTCTCTTATATATCCATTTTGAGTCTATTTCATAGTATGACATGGTGCCCACTCTTTTGAAATACACTTTAATCTTAAAGAATTAAGGTATGGATGATAAGGTGATGCTGTAAAAAATTTTGGTAAGGATTTTATTATGCCATTTATAAAGGCCACCAACAAATTTTTAATACACGGATCTCCATATAATTGTTCTCACGGGTTTTTGATTAATTAGTATATAAAGTTTCCGTCTTATCGGATTACATGATCCCTAATCAATTGCTGTAGACCAAAAATTTGTAGCGAGGGCACTGTATTATTCTAAATAATAGTAAGGGCACATCAAAATAGGCAAAAAATTAAGATTCAATTAGAACTTAACATAATAAAAAGATAATTTATCAATATTTTTCGTTTGAATGAAATTGTTATTATAACTTTACACAATTTTTTTTTATTTATTTATGAATGTAATTGTTTTTATACAAATTAAAATAATTTTATATTCACAAAATCAGAGCTATTTTTTAAAAAAATATCTAGAAATTTTTTTTAGTTCTAAACTCTGCCTTTTAATGCTCAATTATTTAGCACTATCCATTA